AAAATCTTTTTTTTTCTGTAGGAAAGACATTTAGTGATCGAATAAGCAGCTGAATCATGTTTCTCCTGCCTGGGAGCGGGGCGGCGGTGGCAGCAGGTGTAGACTGGAGAAGCCGCTTTAAAAGGGACCCGGGTCTGGCTCCAGCCACTGTTTGCCGGCCCTGTTCATAGGAGAAGCGGCTAAGTGAGATTCTGGCACTGGAATGCCGTCTACTCGAGAGACGGGGGGCCAAGAATTTCTCATTTCTCCTGCATCTTGTATCATAACAGTTCCTTATCACTTATCACTTAATCACTTAATCCCCGTTATTCATCGATTTATTCGAGCGGGTGCCAGTAATGTCTCCATTCATCCCGGTTGCGTGCTAGCGTAGCCCAATGGTATCTGTTCGTTCTAGGAACATGCAGAGCCTCAAACCGACCATTTAGGGTCTTGACAAAGAAGTCTGACCATCTTATAGGTGGGTGTCCGCGTGATCTTTTGATGTCCCGTGGAATCCAATCAGTAATGGCTCTAGTCCAGCGGTTGTCTGTAAACCTCATTACGTGTCCAGCCCATCTGATTTTTGATGTCTTGGCAAATGAGACCGCGTCCCTGATTCTTGAGCATTGACGAAGATCAGAACTCCGGATTCTATCTCTCATTTGAGTGAATCGTGATATTCCAAGCATAGTTCTTTCGATTCCTCTTTGAGAGACCCGAATAGCGTTCTCATCCTGTTTTCGTAGGGTCCAGGTCTCTGAGGCATATGTTAATGCAGGAAGAATAGTGGAATCAAAGAGATGTGCTCGTAGCTGGAGGTTCTTTGTCCTTTCAGTTATTTCTTCAATGCTCTTGAAGGCATTCCAAACCGCTCTCTTCCTCCTGCGCAACTCAGGTGCCAGGTCATTCATCATGTTGATTTCTCGACCTAGGTATATATAACTGTTGCATTCGAAGATGGTGGTTCTGTTGAGAGCGAATGGAGCGTCAGGAACAAGGCTGTTTCTCATAAACATTGTCTTCGTAAGATTCAGCTGTAGTCCGACATTTCCACATTCACGGTCAAAGTCGTTCAGCATTTGTGCCGCTTGGCTGATGTTTGGTGTTATTAGAACGATGTCATCAGCAAAGCGGAGGTGGTGTAGTTGCCGACCATCTATCTTCACTCCCATGTTTTCCCATTCCAGTCGTCGCATGATATTCTCGAGGGTGGCACTGAAGAGTTTTGGTGAAATGGTATCACCCTGCCAAACCCCTCTCTTGATATGGATGATTACTTCTTTGTAGAATGGTGAGATTTTGGTAGTGAATCCGCAATAGAGCTCACGAAGGATCCTGATGTATTGAGTTTGTACGCCCTGATTGGCTAGGGCTTCCATGACCGCTTCCGTCTCAACAGAATCAAAGGCCTTCTTTAAATCAATGAACATTAGACATAGCGGCATCTTGAACTCCCGAGATACCTCAATGAGCTTGGTTATTGTGTGGATATGGTCGATGGTACTGAATCCTTTTCGGAATCCAGCTTGTTCACATGGTTGTCCTTCATCTAGCGTTCTGCTAATCCTATTCAGGATGACTCAAGTGAATAGTTTGTAGATGACAGACAACAGGCAGATTGGGTGATAGTTGCCAATGTCGTGGATATCTCCTTTCTTGTATAGTAGTACAGTCCTGCTGGTTTTCCATTGGGATGGAACCTTGCATTCAGACAGGTAGCGTGTGAAGAGTCGAGACAATGTATTGATGAGTACTGATGGTAAGTTCTTCAGGTGTTCAGGTCTGATCTTGTCTGGGCCAGGTGCTCTTTGTTTCTTTACCGACGAGATGGCATGTTGGATTTCGGAAGGGAGAACATTGGGAACGACATATCCATCATGTGGTATGTGGTATGTGGGCAAGTGGATGTGGCTATTAAAGAGATCTGAGTAGAAGTCATGAATAATCTTCTCCATTGCCCTTCTGGAAGATGTGATAGATCCATCATGATGTCGGAGGGCAGTCATCTTGGTTTTAATTTAATTTAATTTAACTTAATAATCAGCTTCCTACTGATTAAAAGTGTCCTTATTTGGGGCTGGAGATAGCGTCCGGGGGATGGGGCACCTGCCTGTATGTAGCCCATCCTTTGTCCATCCCCGACATTACATGTGGTCCCCTGCCCTGAGCCAGGATTAGCCCCCAAGCTACCAAGTGTTATCGTGAAACAAAACACCACAAGATTCTTCGTCTTTCAGGTTTCCTTTATAGCAGGTACTCACCCAAAGACCCAACACTTCGAAAAATGGAGCAGTTGTGGCCGGAGCGATAGCACAGCGGGTTGGGCATTTGCCTTGCACACGGCCAACCCGGGTTCGATTCCCAGCATCCCATATGGTCCCCCAAGCACCGCCAGGAGTAACTCCTGAGTGCAGAGCCAGGAGTAACCCCTGTGCCTCACCGGGTGTGACCCAAAAAGTAAAAAAAAAAAAAAATGGAGCATGGAGCTGGAGAGAGCACAGTGGGTAGGGTGTTTGCCTTGCACGTGGCCAACCCGGGTTCGATTCCCAGCATTCCACATAGTCCCCTGAGCACCACCAGGAGTAACTCCTGAGTGCAGAGCCAGGAGTAACCCCTGTGCATCGCCAGGTGTTACCCAGAAAGAAAAAAAATGGAGCAGTTGTGGCCAGAGTGATAGCACAGCGGCTTGGGCGTTTGCCTTGTATGCAGCCGTCCTGAGTTCGATACCTGCCCTCCCATGTGGTCCTCAGAGCACCACCAGGAGTGATTCCTGAGTACAGAGACAGGAGGAACCCCTGAGCACTTCCGGGTGTGACCCCAAAAGGAAAATTAAAAAAAGAAAAAGAAAAAAAATGGAGCAGCAGTTTATGAAACCTGCAGTGTAATGAGCGGGCTTGTAAGAGAGCATTTTGCTTTGCACGGGGCTTTCTGAGCCCCCCAGGAGGGCCGTGCATATGTGCGGCTCCAACCCTTAGATCGATGACACTGTGAAAGTACAATGACGAATAAGCAGGGAAATGAAGGGAAATAAGATGCGAGTATGGAAGACTCGGGTAGGGGGGTCTAAATTGCTCCAAGGGTCTCTGTCACCAAGTCCTCTTCCTTATTTCCTCCCAGATTCGAGCAACACTTCCTCCTCCAGCCTGCCCACAGAGGACGCTTGGAGCACGGCTGGCTTAGTCTGGCTTTCTGTAATTTGGGGTTCTCGGGAAGTGGGGGGCCATGTGTCTGGTATTACAACAAAGCCTCCGGGACCTGTCAGCTAGGAACCATCCGGGAGCCGCTTCCCTGGGGGCTGTAGGGAGTTTGCACGTGGGGGGAAGGACCGTTTCCCTGTGCTAGACACGTGGGGACAAAACTCAAGAGAGAAGCCGGGCCTCTTGAGGCCAGGACCATCCTGACCCCAGACAAGGAGGAAGGGAGGGCCAGACCCCAGCCAGGCCCACCCACAAGGCCCTGGTTAATTTCAGGGTGGGGGGGCCTACGAGCTCACTTCAGTCCCATCCAGGGAGCACCCCATGTGTGCCGCAGACACCCTGACCAGTCTGCTGCAGGGGAGACATGGGCAGGGCTGTGACGGAGAGTGGGAGTCGAGAAGGAGAAGGAGAAGGAGCCCCGGAGAAGGAGCAGGAGAGAGGCGGGAACGGGGGACAGCCGGATGTTTGGATTTCTCATCGCGCCCCACCTAACAGCATCCGAGATGTTCAGAGAGTCACAGGAATCATGTTGGCAGGGCCGGAGGGATGGGACGGGGGGTTGAGAGCCTGCGTGCACACGTCTCACCCCGGCTTGAGACCTCCAAGAACAGCATCTAGACCCCCAAGCATTCTGGAGTAAGCTCTGAGCACAACCTGGTGTGCCCCCCGCCCCTCCAACCAAAAACAAAGCAAAGGAATCGGGAAGCATGTGGGGAGTGTGTGTGTGTGTGTGTGTGTGTGTGAGAGAGAGAGAGAGAGAGAGAGAGAGAGAGAGAGAGAGAGAGAGAGAGAGTTGGAGAGGGGATGGGAGAGTTCTCATTGGAACCAGCAGCGGGGCCAGTCCTGTGCATTGTTAGAGCGTCCTGTTAGGGGACGCTCTGGGCTGGGAAGGGCTGGCTGGCCCAGACTCAGGTTTCGTTCTGGGCAGGGGCCAGGCTGCTTGTGGCCACTCACCACCTTCTGTCCATCCACATGTGCGCTGGGGTCACCAGGAAATGGGAGAGTTAGAGCAGCCCTGGGCGTGGGAGCTTTGCAGACTCCCTCCTTCCCGCTGGGCTCTGTTCCCCCACAGCCGCCTGCCCCTCAGGTGGACACCGGAACCGGCTTCACTTGCTGTAAGAGCATAAACATTCTTTCAAGGTTTGTTTTGATTTCTTACCACACCCTGTAGGACTTGGGGCTAGCAGCCGGCTCTGCCGTCAGGGATCACTCCTGGCATCACTCAGGGAATGGCGTAGGTGGTGCCCTGGATTGAACCTGGGTCAACGCCCTACCCACTTTACTATCCGGTCCCAGAGCACAGACATTCTTTTTTTTTTTTTCTGCTTTTTTTGGGTCACAGCCGGCAATGCACAGGGGTTACTCCTGGCTCTGAACTCAGAAATTACTCCTGGCGGTGCTCAGGGGACTGTATGGGATGCTGGGAATCGAACCCGGGTCGGGTGCGTGCACGGCAAATGCCCTACCTGCTGTGCTCAGCCCCTGAGCATAGACATTCTGCAAATCAAGGTCACATCCAGGTGGGGTTCCACCGGGAGTGAGAAATGAGTGCTCCCCTTTCCTTCCTCACTTCCGGGGCACAGAGCCAAGGCAGCCCCAGAGCATCCCTGGGTGTGGCACAGAAATGAAAATAAATAAAAACCATGTGTCATCTCTCGGGATTTTTCACCCCATTTTGCAAAACCTAGAGGTGATTCCATAACGGAAGCTAGTGCCGGGGGACGAGGGGGAGGTGACCGCGGGGAGCGTCTGTCTGTCCTCGGGGTTCGAGCTGTTTGGCTGAGCGCCGGGTCCCTTTCTCCTCGCCTCTCCCCCGCGCAGGAAGTCCTACGAGTTCGAAGATCTGCTGCAATCGTCCTCGGAGAGCGGCGGGGTGGACTGGTACGCGCAGACCAAGCTGGGCCTTACACGCACTTTATCGGAGGAGAACGTCTACGAGGACATCCTGGGTGAGCGCGAGCGGGCGTCAGGATGGGGGTGGGGGGTCGAAGAGCAGGAACCAGGTTAGCCACTCGGCACACACATGCACGCACGCACGCACGCACAGGCACGCACGTATGCACGCATACACGCACCCACCTACGCGTGCACGCACGTATGCACGCGCACATGCATGGACTGAGTGGGCAGGTGGGTGACACGAGACCCACCCATGGTGGGATGCAGAAGGGACAGAGAGGGGGGCGGGGGCGGGAGGGGGAGGGGCTGTCAGTGAAGGGCTGGCAGGCAGCATGGCCCCGGTACACCGGTCCCAGCGTCGGGACCTGCGCCTTGGCTCTGCCGCCAGCCAACTGCCCGGATGCCTTTCCTCGCCATCCCCTCCGTGTGCTGAGGGCGGGGGTCACTGCCTGGCCAGGCTGGGAGGGGACTGGAGAAAGAGCCGCCTCCCGGGCCTGATTCCAGACCCGGGGAATGGTAGGGATCGCGGAGTGAAGGAAGCGGAAGGCCAGCAGGCTCCTTACCAGGCTGCTGGGTACAGGCGCTGCTGGGAGTTCTCACCGAGCAGATGTCAGCGTAACTAAAGGAAGCTTGGCTCAGCTCTCAGGAAGTCTCGCAGGGGCCCGGGCAGTAGTCTAGTGGAGAGGAGCTTGCCTTGAGTGCAGCCGACTCAGGTTCAATCCCTGGCATCCCATATGGTCCCTAAGCCCCACCGGAGTGATCCCTGAGCGCAGAGCCGGGAGTCAGCCCTGAGCCCCACTGGGTGTGACCCCCAAACTTTAAACAAACAAACAGAAAATCCCCAGCTGTCAGATTGCAGATTTGGAGTCTTAGATTTGGAGTCTGTTTGCCTTAAACCAGGGGTTAAGGGAGAGAGCACGGTTTGAGACCCTGGTTTGACACACCCCTCTCCCCCACCGCATGGTGGTCGCCCTGGGCATTGTTGGGTGCAGCCCTGAGGGGTCCTGAGCCCCATTGGGGTGCCTGAGTGACCCCAGCCCTGCCTGCCCTGGCTGTCCCACAGCCTCGGGCCCTGGCATTGAGCTGCTGGCCCTGAGGTCAGGAGGGGCCCAAGACCTCCCGAGCACCAGTAAATAAAGAGATGGGGGAGTTTGTTTATCTTTCATACACACCACGGGCTGGGTGAGGCTGGGTGAGGCATGAGCCCAGGATTGGAGGTTGGGGAAGAGCCGTGCGTGGCCGTGCTCAGAGGTGATGGGGCAGGATCCCGCGCAGCTGCCCCCAAATGTCCCTGTTGAGCACAGCGGGCAGAGGCTCTCGAGGAGAGGGAGAGGGGGGAGGGGGAGGTTCCGGCCAGAGCTGGCTTGGGTTCAGGGTGCCTGGGGGCTATTTCAGACTCTGCTCGGGGGGCACCCCTGTGATCCAGGTGCTGGGGATCAGGCTGGGGCCGGCTGCGTACAAGGTCAGCACCGTCCCCATGGCTGCCCTCACCTTCCTGATGGCCCCTTCCGGTCAAGGAGGAGGAACTGCATCCTCCAGGCCCAGCTGAGACTAGATGATCTCCTGGGACTAGACGGGTGGCATGCCCCGTTCCCCGCTGAGACAAGGGCGGCCTTGCAGTAGAGTAGGGGGGTGGGTTAGTCTTCCAGAACAGACTCGCAGGCCGCAGTTGGGAACCGTGTGATTGATCTTCTCCGGAACGAGAGGGGACTGAATTTCTGGTCTGAGAGTGGGATCCATGGGGGCTACCCCAGTGAAGATCAGGGTCTGTCCTCGCAAAGAGGAGGATGGACGGGGAGCGGGGGGAGGGGGGTCACAGGTGTCCCCGGAGCAGAAGCCAGGGTCTGGGGGCACCCGAGAAAGGACCACACCTTCGGTCCTCTCTGATCCCGCTTCCTTTGGCTGCAGACCCGCCCATGAAGGAGAACCCCTACGAGGACGTGGAGCTGCACGGACGCTGCCTGGGGAAGAAATGTGTCCTGAACTTCCCGAGCTCACCCACCTCCTCCATCCCTGACACAGCCACCAAGGTATGAGCCCCCGGGGGGGGAGGGTGCCCCCAGCACCGTGCCCGGCTCTCGGAGCTGCCTCCAGCAGCCTGCCCACTCTCTGCTTGGCGTCTGCTCAGCAGAGTGTCTGACAGTTCCTTTGTGCTCCTGGGTGAGCCGCGTCCCCAAGCTGGGTGAGTAGGGGAGTGTCCCTGCAGCTGGCCGGAAGCATGTCCCAACCCCAAAACAGACCCTGCAGTGGACTGTGGAAGGGCTCTTCTGGAGGTGGCCAAGCGGTGTTTGTGTGTCTGGAATGCGTCAGTGCACCTGTGTGTGTGCCTGCGTGTGCTGGCATGTGCTGGCGTGTGCTAGCGTGTACGGCCTGTCTGGGTGGAAGGGGCCCCATGCAGTGTCTGAGTTTCTGAGTACCTGGCGGTCAGGGTGGAAGAGGACAGACTGCCCCATAGACTTTAGCCATTTCGGAGGGGCCTGGAGAGATGGGGCAGTGGGGAGGGCGCTTGGCATGCACGTGGCTGACCTGGGTTTTATCCCAGCACCCCATATGGTCCCCTAAGCGCCACCAGGAGTGACCCCTGAGCGCAGAGCCAGGAGTCGGCCCTGGGCACAGCTGGGTGTAGCACCCTCCCCCCCAAAAAAAGCGCCCAAAATAATAAAAATTTTGGAGTTTTATGCTATGTACATGAAAAGATTACACCTGTGTTCACACATGTGAGTATGGAAGTCACTGCCTACGGGACTGAGTCGCAGTCCTTGGCACTAAGGAGCCTTCATCATTGATGCTTGATTCCCCACCCATACATACATAGTCCTGAGCTGCCACTGGCCACGGCTTGCCAGCTCTCCTGCACGTACTGCAGGCCCAGGAGCAGAAACTTGTCCCGGCCAACGAGTGACCATTTATTCTCTGCGAATCTGCCTAGCTAGCTCAGAGCCGCTGGGAATAGTGTCTGTCCATCAGGGTTGTGGCTCTGTGTCAACAGATCACACTTTATCTCGGGGCACAGAAATGTGCATTTCCTGCAAGGTTTATGTGTCATGAAAAGAAAAAAAAATTTTGGAGGGGTGACATTTAAAAAATGTGAAAACTCCCAGCTTGCACGAAACAGCGGCAGGCCAAGGAGGAAACACGTGTCCCGATTTGTCCACCTCATCCCTCTGCCCTGACCTTGCCTGGACCTCCATTCCCCATCACTCTTTCTTCCAGAAGCTTCTAGCCCGTGCGGGCCCCAAAACTTGACTCCCCCATCCCCCGCTTGCCTGTCACCCTCAGTGGACTGACCGCACCTAGCGCTCCTACCTTACTCCTCCCTTCGGGGACAAATTCTGAATCATTTTTAGGTACCGTTTTCCTAGCTAGACGGTCAGTTCCTCAAGGCCAGACAGCACGGATGGTTGACCCTGGAACAACGGGGCTTTGAACTGGGTCCCCTCACTGACAGACTCGCGGGTTCCGCCCCAGTTGGATGCCAGCTGATTCCCAGGCTGGAGACTTCCCGCTGTTTGGGGAGCTCAGGACTCCGAGCCCAGAGTCATCCCAGAGTCGGCTGTGTTGAGTTTCTCGGTGCCTCCCCTAAGTAGGTTGTGCAACTCAGTAAACGTCAGCCAGAAGTGTGGCCAGTGTTGGTCTAACGCCTTGGCTGGGCCCAGACCTTGCCTCTGAGGGCTCCAGACCAGGTCGGGCGTGCAGGGGGGGGGGGGCGCCTTGGAGGGCCGGGGGGCACCTCACCAGCCCAAGAGAGTGAAGCCCTGGCCCCAGAGGGCCTTGTCCCAGCCCAGCTCCGCAGCTGTCGTCTCTGCTTGTCCGAGCCCCACCGACTGCCCTCTCTTTTCTCCTCGGGTGAAAGCGCGCCCTCGGGAACGGTGTGCATTGACGGCTCTCACCTCCCCAGCAAGCCTCTTCCCGTGGCCCCGGGATTCCTCCTGCTGACTTCCTGCAGGGAACTGGCCTGGCCGAGACCCAAGAGGGCCTCACACACTGCCTGCCCTTGCTCCACTGATCACTGGGAGGGAAGCACTGAGAACCCTCTGCCCGTGGCCCCCAGAGAGGTCAGCCCGCAGCCCCCGCTTCCTCTTCCTGCCCGGGAGGACACGGGCCAGTATCCAGACAGCACGCAGCATCCGAAGCGGCTCTCTCAGTCAGGCTCAGGCTCACACCGTCCTTTGCTGAGCAGCGGGACCTGTGGCCATCAGAGGCTGGCCTCCCACCGAGGGGCCTGGCTTGTGCCCCCGTTCTGGGCCAGCTGCAGCCACCCCACTCCCTGTCTGCCCCATCCTGGCTGCATCTGGGGCCCAGAACTCACCACTGCCAAGCCTCAGGTCCTCCTCTACCAGGCACAGAATGGCAGGAGCATTTAGCAGAGGGTCACTGATGAGAGCAGAGGGCCGGGCACAGAGGGGCGGCTGCCGGGCCAGAGACTCACGCGTGCACACACGCCAGGCACATGTACCATCACGCATCCATGTCAGACATGTGACGGTCACACACACATAACAGGCACGTGCAGTCACACATGTCAAGCACATGCACTGTCACACACATACATGTCAGACACCTACATAGTCACATGCATGACAGAAACATGTAGTGTCTCACACCTGTCAGGCACATGTACAGTCACACACGTATATGTTAGATACTTACACCGTCACACACGTCAGGCACATGCCCAGTCACACATGTCAGATACCTACACACATACCAGGCACATACGGTCACATATGTACACACACCAGGCACATACACAGTTATACACATACACCACAACACACACAGTCACACACATCAGACACACACAGACTCATGTTCATACACATACACATGCCAGGCACATGCACTGTCACACACACGTCAGACACATGACAGTCACACATCAGTCACATGCACACAGTCACATACACATATATCAGACATCTACATATTTCAGGCACGTGTACAGTCACCCATCTATGTCAAATACCTACATAGTCACACGCATGTTAGGAACATGCGCTGTCTTACACACATCAGGCTCATATACAGTCACACATGGAGACACCAGGCATGTGGACAGTTCATACATATACCAGATACACACAAAGTCATGTTTATGTACACACACAACAGACACACAAAAAGTCACGGAGATACACACAGACTCGTGTTCAAATACATGAGACACATACACAGTCACACGCATGTCAGGCACAGACATATACAGCTTCACACAGAGATATGGAGTCGCACACGTGACACAGTCACACATCACGTGCGCACAGACCCAGAGGAACACACTTCCATACCACAGAAGCCTCAGCCGTGGGTGACTCCGGGGTGTGGCCCGGAGAGGGGACGGTGACTCCTGTGACAGCCTCAGGCTGCTGAGCCGCCCTGCCTCCTCACACTGGCACATCTGAGATCACAGAGCCTCAGCATGGGAGGGCAGCACTGGCCAGATGTGCCGGCCCGGGCCCAGTGGCCTCCTTTCCAATCTTGGGGGTGCTCTGAGTACGTGCTCCCATGCGGGAGGCCGGGCCCCCTGCCCCACACTGCTTCTAGCCCTTGAGCAATGCCAGAAGCGACCCCCGAGCAAATGGCCGGGAGTTAGCCCCAAGCAGTGTGGGATGTGGCAGGAAACACAACTTGCCCAGGCCAGGCCGGAGCAAGAGTGCAGCGGGGAGCACGGCGTTTCTTGGCACACGGCCGACTGGGTTCGATCCCCACATCCCATGTAGTTCTCTGAGCACCTCAAGGAGTAGTTTTTGAGTGCAGAGTGAGGAGTAACCCCTGAGCATTGCTGGGGGTGACTCTCCCCAACAAAAAAAACAAACCCAGCCTTTCCAAGCCACATCCTGGCTGTGTGGCTCTGGCCTCCTCGTCTCCTGGTGAGTGAGGACGGAGGACGGTGCCCGCCTGGCCACCAGGTACCTGGGAGGATGAATCAGTGAAAACTGGACAGCCACCAAGGCCACTACTACCGGCATAAGTGCTGATCTCATGTTTGTGGAATTCTCAGAATTATGCTTTCAAGTTGCTTCTTTAAAAAATAAAAATAAAAAGATCTCCTTTGAAAATTGAAATTTTCATTGCCAAAAACATATTAAAAATAGTGAAGAGAGGCTGGAGAAGTACAACAGCAGGGAGGGTGCTTGCTTTGCACATGGCCAACCCAGGTTTGATACCTGGCACCCCATATGGTACCCCAAGCCCCTCCAAGAGTGATTCCTGAGCACCGAGCCAAGAGTAAGCCTTGAGCACTGCTGGGTGTGCCTCCAGAGAAACAACAAAAAGAATAGTGAAGAAACTGAATTGCATACATTGTTGAGGACTTCCCTTTTTCTGTATGGCTCAGATGTATTTCCCTGTCTGTAATAGATTGTTGTTACATGTGTGTGTATGTGTGTAATGTATTTTTAAAAATTGTGGGAACAAGACTGTAAGACTACAGGTAAGGTATTTGCCTTGTACATGATCACCCCAGATTCAATCTGCTATACCCGATATGGCCCCCTGAGCCTCCCAGGAGTGATCCCTGAGCAGAGCCAGGTGTGCACTGCCCTAAACACTGCTGGGTATGGCCCCAAACCCAAAACAAACAAAATGGAAAATACTGTAGAAGGTTGAGAGATGGTTCAGTGGGCTCACTCTGCATGTAGGGGGCCCAGATTCTAACCCTGTACCACATCCACATGTTCCCCTGAGCACCACCGGGGCGGGGGTGGGGGGCAGGCACTGGGCACTACCTTCCATGCCCCCACCGCGGAGGGGGGGGAACCCAGGCAACAGAATTTCACGTAATCTCAACCCTGCTGTCTCTGCACATAGCCACTGCTAACTTTGGGCTTATTTCCTTCTATACTGTCTCTGTAGGTGTGTGTGTGTGTGTGTGTGTGTGTACACATTTAAAAGTACTTGGGGGCCTGGAGAGAGTATAGAGGTTAGGGTGCATGCATGCATGACCCCAACCTGGGTTTAATCCCCAGCACTAGTGACCTCCACTGGGGTGACCCGGTGACCCCACACACAGCAGGCTCTGAGCAGCCCTCCAGTCTCTGGGCCTGGTGCTGCCCCACAGGCTTGGTTGGTGAGTATTGCCAGGAATGCCCCCAGGCAGTGCCCTCCACCCACCCTCTGGTCACTGCTTCAGAGCCCTCCCCCTGAATAGATGTTTGGATTCTGAGTCATATTATATAGGTAACTTGGCTGCATTTATATTTCTCATGAGCACTTCCCTGTAACACTGATTTCTTCCCAAAGAACAATTGTTATAATGTCTTTAAGACTCCATCTTTTTTGTCTTGTTGGTGGTTTGGGGGGGGCCACACCTGGCTGTGCTCAGGGCTTACTCCTAGCTCTGTGCTTAGGGGTCACTCTTGGTGGTACTCAGGGCATCACATATGGACTGGGGATTAAACGCAGGTTGGCCGTGTACAAGTAACTGCCCTCCCCACTGTACTGTCTCTTGGCCCTGCGTCATGTCAGTGTCTTGTCGTCATGAGTCTCATCATCGTTGTTATTAGGACTAGTATTTTTTTTTCTTTTTCGGTAACACCCAGTAATGCCAGGAGTTACTTTTGGTTCTGCACTCAGGAATTACTCCTAGAGGCGCTCAGGGATCATCTGGGATGCTGGGAATCGAACCCAGGTCGGCCACGGGCAAGGCAAATGCCCTCCTCACTGTGCTATTGCTCCAGCCCCCACACTGGGCCCTTTGACTGGCTCTTCTCCTCTCTCACAGCCATCGTTGGCCAAACCTGCTTTTTTCCGGCAAAACTCCGAGAGGAGGAACTTCAGGCTGCTGGACACTCGGAAGCCGAGTCGGGACGGAACCGTGTCCCCCTCCAGAACTAGCCCTCCGTCCACCCCCAGCAGCCCCGACGACACGTTCTTTAACCTCGGAGACCCTCAGAACGGCAGGAAGAAGAGAAAGATTCCCAAGGTAATGCCGGCTGCGGCCCGTTCTCCTGCGCCGTCCCTCACCCCTTCTTGCCTGACCGAGGGGGCATCCCTGGCCCGGGCCGATGGACTCGGTGAGGCCTTGAGGCCTGAGCCCCTATCTGGACTGGATCGTGTAACAGCTGGGCCCCAACTCCTGACTCCGATGGGGTTTCCCAGGCCCAGTCTCCAACAGGCCACACCATATCTTTCGGGGCTGGAGCAGTAGCACAGCAGGTAGGGCATTTGCCTTGCACACGGCCAACCCGGGTTCGATTCCCCGTATCCCATACGGTCCCCCAAGCACTGCCAGGAGTAATTCCTGAGTGCATGAGCCAAGAGGAACCCCTGAGCATCGCCAGGTGTGACCCAAAAAGAAAAAAAAAAAAGCAACCGTATCTTTCCCACACTGTCTAATGCCCCAGACTGCTGGAATGCACAGCTGCTGCATCTCCCAGGGGTGCCAGCTCTGCTCTGCCCCGGCACACGCCCCAGGAGGGTATAGAACAGGACTCTTCACTCCACAGCCCACCAGTGGGATGCAGGGGGCTCCTGGAGCCCAAATAACTGTAAGACTGTGTGGCCCAGCTGGCGGGTCGGAAGCGGCAGTGACTCCCGTCTCCTTCAGCTGTCTCTGAAAACCAAGGGGCATTGTCACTGGCTGGCCCCTCTGATGCTGGTTAGCCCATTGGGGCTTTGGGTAGTTTGACTCCCCCACCGCCAGCCCTGCTCCCCGTTTTTGTCCAGGTGGCACTAAGTCACCTTGACCCTACTGGACGCTGGGCGGTCAGAGGAGGGGCGGACACAGCATGTGGCAGAGGTCTGGGACTCCCTAAACCCCACGGCAGCACCTGTGCTGATGGGAAGCATGTCCCCAACTCCTTTCACAGGCAGGGTACCAGAATGTGGGAGACCATTGTGCCTTAGCCCCCACAGCAGGCGGGAGATACCCAGGATGGCTCTCGGCGGCAGAGTTTTTTTTAAAAATTTATTTGTCGGCTAAAATCAGCCAACCCTGATTTGCTCTCTGGCACACCATATGGTTCCCTGACACCTGCGAGGAGTGTCCCCTGAGCAGAACCAGCAGTAAACCCTGAGCACAGCCGGATGTGGACCCCAGACAGCAGCAGAACCCAGAGTCGAATATTTTAACTCTCAGCTCGTTGGAGCGATGGTCTGTTTCAGTGCGTGAGGCGCTTGTGTTGCTGGTGGCTGAGCACATGTGGTTCCCCCAAGCCCTGCCAGGAGTGATCCCTACGGGGGCTGACGCGATAGTATAGCGGAAAGGGCATTTGTTTTGCACACGGCTAACCTGGGTTCATCCCAGCATTCCATATGGTCCCCCAAGCACCATCAGGAGTAATTCCAGAGGGCAGAGCCAGAAGTAACCCCTGTCATCGCCAGGTGTGAACCATTCATCTGACAAAGGGTTAATATCCAACATATATAAAGCACTGGTAGAACTCTACAAGAACAATACATCCAACCCTATCAAAAAATTAATAGATGAACAGGAACTTCTTCACAGAAGAAATGTTAATGACCCCAAAAAAAAAAAGGATAAAAGTGTTCTCCATCACTAATCATCAGGGAGATGCAAATCAAAACAGCAATGAGATATCAGCTCACACCACAGAAACTGGCACTCATCAAAAACAACCAGTATTGGCAAGGATGCAGGGGAAAGTGACCCTCATTCATTGCTGGTGGGAATGTCAACCGGTCCAGCCTTTTTGGGAGACAGTCTCTATGGACATTCCTCAAGAAATGAGGAGGTGAGCTTCCATCTGACCCAGGAATCCCCTGCTGGGAATAGAGCCAAAGGGCCCCTAAGCACAAAGCAGAAAGGACATCTGCACCCTGTGTTCCCCCATAGCACTGTGTGCAATTGCCACAGCATGGAAAGAACCCAAGTGTCCACAGACAGATGAGTGGGTGGAGAAGCTATGGTACGTCTACACAATGGAATACTACACAGACGTCAGAAGAGATAAAGCCATGCAGTGTGCTGCAATGTGGAGGGATTTGGAGAGTATCATGTTGAGTGAAACCAGCCAGAGGAGGAGGAGCAGGCTCAGAATGATCTCTCCTGTGTGGGATGGAAAGAATCCTCGTCAGGAATCAGCGCATGCCCAGTGGCAATAGAGACGAAGCGCAGGAGAACAGTCTCACTAGGAAGCTCGGCAGTGGGGCAGAGGCGAGAGGGATAAGTTAGGGAAGGGGACACGAGGAGAGTGGGGGAGGGCGAAAGGGCCCACCACAGCCCAGGCTGGGGGGCAGGCGAGAAACTGGGACGTTGGCAGAGGGTGGTGGTGGGCATTGGTGAAGGGATGGGTGTTGGAACATTGTGTGCCTGAAACACAGTCATAAATATCTTTTTTTTTTTAAATTTTTATTAGTGAAACACCATGAGGTACAGCTGTAGACTTACAAGTTTTTGTGCTTGGGTTTCAGTTATACAATGATTGGGTACCCATCCCTCCACCAGTGCCCATTCTCCACCACCACCAGTCCCAGTATCCCTCCCACCTCCCCATCCCCCACCCCACCCTGCCTCTGTGGCAGGGCATTCCCTTTTGTTCTCTCTCTCCTTTTGGGAGGTGAGGTTTGCAAAAGAGGCATTGAGTGGCAATCATGTTCGGTCTACAGTCTACTTTCAGCATGCATCTCCCGTCCTGGGAGGATCCTCCCAACACCCTTTATTTGGTGCTCCTTTCTCTATCTGAGCTGCCTTTACCCCTAGAGTGTGTGGCTGGCTTCCAAGCCATGGAGTGAACCTCCTGGTACTTATCTCGACTATTCTTGGGTGTTAGTCTCCTATTCTGTTACTTTGTATTCCCCAGATGAGTGCAGTCTTTCTGTGTCTTTCCCTCTCTTTCTGACTCATTTCGCTTAGCATGATACTTTCCATGTAGTACCACTTGTATGTAAATTTCATTACTTCATCTTTTATTTTTATTTATTTATTTTTGCTTTTTGGGTCACACCCGGCGGTGCACAGGGGTTACTCCTGGTTCTACATTCAGGAATTACCCCTGGCAGTGCTCAGGGGACCATATGGGATGCCGGAAATCAAACCCGGGTCAGCCATGTGCAAGGCAAACGCCCTACCCGCTGTGCTATTGCTCCAGCCCCGACTTCATCTTTTAACAGCTGCATAGTATTCCATTGTGTAGGTGTACCAAAGTTTCTTTAACCAGTCATCTGTTCTCGGGCACTTGGGTTTTTCCAGATTCTGGCTATTGTAAACAGTGCTGCAATGAACATAGAAGTGCAGATGTCATTTTGACTGTACTTTTTTGCCTCTCTGGGATATATTCCCAGGAGTGGTATTGCTGGGTCAAATGGGAGCTCAATTTCTAATTTTTTGAGACTCGTCCATACTGTTTTCCAAAAGGGCTGAACCAGTCGGCATTCCCATCAGCAGTGATCTCTTTCTCGCCATATCCACACCAACACCAGTTGCTTTTGTTCTTTTGGATGTGGGCCAGTCTCTGTGGTGTGAGATGATATCTCATTGTTGTTTTGATCTGCATCTCCCTGATGATTACTGAACAATCATAAATATCTTTGTAACATTGTGATTCACAGCAATTCGATTAAAGCAAAAGTTAAAAAAAAAAGTGAACATGTGGGAAATCAATGAAGTATAGGGAGTATGAGGGAGCCAGCAGGGCCTGCCAGGGGGGCTATGGGCTCCCCAGGGGGTATATGCCTGCCTAGGGTCTGGGCTGCCAGGGATGCTGATTCTTCTGTTGACCTTTGTTTGGGGGCCACATCTGGCAAGATCTGTGTGTGTATGGGGGAAGGGGCTGTCACTTCCAGCTGTGCTCAGGAGCTTGGATGCAGGCCGCCTGCATACAAAACACACGTTCCAGCTCGGAGCCACACCCCTGCACTGCTGATGTTTGAGGTGGGTTTCTCAAGTGGTGTTTAGGGGGCCCAGGGCCCCCTCCCAGCACCTGGCCCTTCCTTAGCCCTTCTCCCAGCCCCCACTCCTATAGCCGTCTTCACTTGAACGTGAGAATCCAAGAATCGGGGGCTGAGAGGGCTGGGTGGTGCCAGGGGACAAGCCAGAGTCTGTCATATTGCCCTGTCCCGAGATGCTGGTCCTTTGTCTTTTTTCTTTTGTTTCTGGCTCACACCTGGCGATGCTCAGGAGTTGCTCTTGACTCTGCACTCAGGAATCACTCCTGGTGGTGCTTGGGGGACCTTATGGGATGCTGGGGATTGAACCCAGGTCGGCCGCGTGCAAGGCAAATAAATGCCTTACTGCTGTGCTGTCACTCCAGCTCTGAGACGCTGGTTCTTGAGGAAATCTAGGGGCTGGGGCGATAGCACAGCGGTAGGGTGTTTGCCTTGCACGCAGTCAACCCAAACGACCCGGGTTCGATTCCTCTGCCCCTCTCGGAGAGCCCAGTAAGCTACCGAGAGTATCTCGCCCGCACGGCAGAGCCTGGCAAGCTACCCATGATGTACTCAATATGCCAAACACAGTAACAACAAGTCTCTCAATGGAGATGTTACTGGGCCCGCTCGAGCAAATCAATGAACAACGGGAGGACAGTGCACAGTGCAGTGCTAAGGAAATCTAAGCACCTGCCCCATGGGTGATGGGGTGGTGAGGACCTCTCAGGACCAGCGTGGGTAGGACTGGGTCTCCCCTGAGAGCCTGTGCAGAAGACAAGGCAGAAGGGTGTCTGCCAAGCCTGGGCACAGGGCCCCACCTGGCCCCAGGAGCCGCTGAGAGTAAACCCATCCCCCCCTTCCTGACAGACCTGCTCTCTGGCTGGGAGTGGGAGCAGGCTGCAGGCAGAGGTGGGGGCCGGGTGTTCCAGCACCCCACGTACACTTCCCCTGCCCGATCCCACCAGCACGGGAGAGCTGAAAAAGTGGGGCCGGAGCCTACAGTGGGGAGGGCACTTGCCTTGCACACAGCCAGCCCGGGTTCAACCCCCAGCATCCCGTACGGTCTCCCACGCCCTACCAGAAGTGATCCCTGAGCACAGAGCCAGGAGTAACCCCTGAGCACTGCTGGGTATGGCCCCCAAAGAAACAAACTAACCGAAACTGAAAATGTTTGTGGAAGCTCAACAACACAGCTGACTCCACCCTCACACCCTGACCCCCCCTACCCCATTCTCAACCCCCACCCTGCACTCTGCTTCCCCCCCCCCCCCCCGGGCCTTGTCTGGAATGTGGATCTTACTTTTAGTGTCTTCATTATTTTGTCTTGGGGGTTAAAGCACCTTCCAAACCTGCTTTTGAGGAGCCCCAGCTAGACCTCAAGCCAGTGAGCCAGCATCCCCCTGGATCCTCGCTGGGCGCCTTGGCACAGCTGTACAGCTCAGCCCAGGCCTGGAGGGGGGAGTGCGGTGGTGGCTGGCATCCCCCAAAGAAGGATTGAGAGATGCCCTTGGGCCAGTGGGCAGAGTCCCTGGGCTGCCGTAGCCTGCCTGCCTCTGACCGTTTCCTCCCCCACCCCCATGTCTGGCAGCTGGTGTCACGCATCAACGCCATCTACGAGGCTCGGAGAGGCAAGAAACGGGTGAAGAGGCTGTCCCAGTCCACGGAGAGCAACTCAGGAAAAGGTAGACGCCCGCCCTGGGCTGCCCTCTCGGCCCAAACTCGGCTCTTCCTGGAATGACTTCCCCGGGGCCTGGGATGGGCCTCCAAGGCAAAGGGTGTGATGGTGCCTGATGGGTACTCAGGAGTCCCACCCTTGGGAGCTGGGGGTCGGCAGTGGAGAGTCTCTGTCTGGGGCTGCGTGCGCTGGCTTCCGAGGGACCAGCAAGCCTGGCACGCAGAGAGGGCGCCAGGGCCTTCTCCGTTACTTCGGGGTGCTAGTTGAGACCCAGATGAGCGTGGGAGCATGGTGGGCTGGAAGCAGATGTGGTGTCTGTTGAAACAGACCTCGAGAGGGCCTGGAGTAATAAGCACAGCAGGGAGGGCATTTGCCTTGCACATGGCCAACCCAGGTTCGATTCCCAGCATCCCAAATGGTGGCCTACCCGGGTTTGATTCCCAGCATCCCATATGGTCCCCCGAGCAATGCCAGGACTAATTCCTGAGTGCAGAGCCAGGAGTAACCCCTGAGCATCGCTGGGTACGATCCAAAAAAGCAAAAAAAAAAAAAAAAAAAAAAAAAGAAGAAGAAAGAAAGAAAGAAAAAGAAAAAATAAACAGGCCACGTGAAACCGCTCCCTCCGCCCCGCCCGCTGCCTCCGAGGGGCCTTCCAAGAACTCATCGCTGCAATTCCCTTCCCCTTGTGTCTGTTTCTTCATTTCTCTAGTGACGGATGAGAACAGTGAGTCTGACAGCGACACGGAGGAGAAGCTGAGAGGTGAGGGGCAGCGTGTCTGCGTGCAGGGGCCCCGAGAGCCGGTGCCAGCATGGGGAGAGCACCTGTGTGTCGGAAGCACGGCCCTGCTCCATCAGCCCTCTGCAGGGGCGACCTGCACCCAGGCCTTTCTGTGATGTCCGGGGGGGACATTCACCAATGCCGGACGATGGGGCTGGAGTGATAGTACCACTGGCGAGGCTCTTGCCTTGCATGCAGCCAGCCCAGGCTCGAGGCTCGGCATCCCATGTGGTCCCTGGGCCCAGCCAGGAATGACTCCTGAGTGCAGAGCAGTGCCCCTGAGCACTGCTATGAACAAACCTCCTTTCCCTCATCTTCCCCCTGACAAAAATGCCTGACAACCGTGGAGACAGCTGGGCACTTCTAGCTCAAACCCTTGGCCAGCCCCTGGGGCTCAAAATTTAGGAAGCTGGGCTGAGGGTTTCTGGAGCTTTCTGCCCTTCCTTGGGCCTCAGAGAGAAGCCAGGAGAGCGCAGTGTCCGGCCAGTTCCTCAGTGGCACTTCCTTTGGTGCCCCTGACCTCCTCTGCCCCCACCCAGGCGGGAAGGTGGCACTGTCAGCAGTCGGGGGGGGGGGGGTGTCAGGGATGTTTACATCCCGACCAGGAGGAAGAGATGGACAGAGGTACCAGTCAGAGACACAGAGACAAGGATGCCCCATTTGTGCCTGAGCAGAGGCCCCGGGTCCCGGCATCCCACCCTGCCTTGCAGCCTGGCCAGTGCTGTCCCGTCTCAGGGCGTGGTGCCCCCAAGAGCATCACAGCCATGCCGGGGCACCGCAGTGGGAGCTGGGCACGGTCTGGGCCGTGCCGTGTTGCCCTGCTGACCTCTTGGGCCCCGCGTCCCCACCCCTGTCTCCCCAGCTCACAGCCGTCGCTTGGTGAAGGTGAAGTCACGCTTGAAGCAGGCGCCCCGGCTGCCGGCCCTGGACCGCGAGCTCGCCGAATTCCGGGAAAGGCGGCTCCTAGAGTACTTCGTGGTGGTGTCACTGCACCGGAAGCAGGCAGGGGCCGCCTACGTGCCCGAGCTCACCCAGCAGTTCCCTCTCAAGGTAGGCTGGGCCTCCTCCTCCCTGTCTCCCCAAAGCGTATGTGCAGCTGGCACCACGCCTCCTGTCTGCTGAGAAGGGACTGAGCCCGGCACCCCGAGACCTACTCCACAGAGCCCCACAGAGCCTTAGCTTCTCGGGGTCCACTGCGGTCTTTCCCTGCGGCATGATTTCCTGAGGGAACTGGCACCGTCCATTGCATACTTTCACCTTATGGGCTTTTTAAAAATAATTGTTTGGGGCCAAAGTGATAGTACAGCACATAGGGCGTTTGCCTTGCATGCAGCTGACCTGGGTTAGATCCCCAACATCCCATATGGTCCCTCGAGCACACCTCCAGGAGTAATTCCTGAGTGTAGAGTCAGGAGTCACCCCTGAGCATTGCTGGGTGTGACCCCTGGGCCCCCCCCCATTTTTTTTTAATATATATATTGGGTATTTTGGCTACACCCAGCTGTGCTCAGGGTTTTCTCCCAGCTCTGTGCTCAGCAATTATTCCTAGTGGGGCAGGGATTGAACCGGGGTCGGCCACATGCAAGGCAAGCACCCTCCCTGCTGTTCTGTCGCTCCAGCCTCGTGCCCATGCTGTATAAGCCTGTCATTATATACAGATATTTGCTGCGAATTCTGAAGCAGCCTGTTGGTGGTCCCAGCGCTCTGTCCTGGGGGTGCCGCCAGCCCACCAAAGCAGCTTCCAGCTCTCCACTGTTGCTGACGGTGCTGCTTTGCATCAGGCTGTTTCCTGCCTCCTGGCCCCTCTCTCTGTCTCAGTCCATCTGTCTGTCTCTCTCTGTCTGTCTGTCTGTCTCTCTCTCTCTCTCTCTCTCTGTCTCTCTCTCTCTCTCTCTCTCTCACACACACACACACACACACACACACAGTCTCAGAGGGAACTTTCTTCTTTCTCCTTTCTAGCTCTTTTGGTTGTTTTTGTTTTTGTTTCTGGTCTGCACTGACTCTGCATTCAGGACTCACTCCTGGCAGTGCTCAGAGGACCCTCTGGGATGCCAGGGGTCCTGAACCCGGGTCTGCTGCTTGCAAGGCAAATCCCCCCCTCACAATGTCTCCAGCCTCCTTTCTAGCTCTTACTCCCCACTCACTCCACAAGTCACTTTCACCGAGCTTCACATGTGAAAGATCACCTGTCTGAGCCATTAACATCCTTGAAAGCACACAGTTATCTTTTTTTGCGGGGAGGGGGTCAGGGAATGATGGGTCAGAGAGCTAGGTTGTACCAGGATTTGGGGAGTTGTTGCAGGGTCAGAGAGATAACTCAGTGAACTGAGAGAGAGCATGCGAACTTCCAGTCCCTGCTGCCATATGGTCCCCTGAGCACTTTCACAAACGACTCCAGAGCACAGAGCTAGGGGTTGGTCACTGGTGAGGACCTCCAGGTCATTCGCTTTCCTAACCGGTTCCCACACTTGCTGTGTGATCAAGGACAAATCACTTACCATAAGAGGCTGCAGCTGGAGAGACAGAGGAGCAAAACCTGTGCATGGGAGACGCCCCTATTCCAGGCCTGGCACCCCTCGGTCCTAGGCACATCGGGAACGACCTTGGAACAGCACAGACTGTGGTCCCAAACCAAAATCAATGCAGATGGTCAGACTCTCCGAATGTAGTTACATATGTGCTCTAAGAAGCGTTTGCCTAGCTGGGGGGCTGAGAGGTTCAGAGGTCAGAGTTGAGGTGTGATCATGCAGATCCATGAGTCTCCTCTTTGGAAGAGTTTCTGTAAAATTTCCTTCTTGAGTCCACTGGTTCTCGCCCAGATGGTGGGGGTCTCGAAAGCCCCTATTTTCCCTCCAGAGTTTACCCTGTTGGACTGGTGGGGGCCGGGCAGGTACAGTGGCTTTTACAGTGAATTGATGCAGGCTGACGCCACTGCACGGTGGGTAGGGTGTTTGCCTTGCATGCTGCCGGCCCGTGTTCATTCCCTGGCATCTCATTATGGTGCCTTGAGCCCTCTGGGAGTAAGTCCTTTGCTCCCTCAAAAAAACAAAATGCAGAAACAACCTTGATCACAGCCAGTTACAGCTTTGGGGGCAGGAGAGAAGTTACGGCCGGGAGGACTCCAACCTTGCATCAGCAGAAGTGATCCCTGAGCACAGAGCCCGGCGGCCTGGCCCTCCTGCACCCATGAGGAAGAAGTCTGTTTGGGGGCAAGGGATGTGACTTAGCGGGAGAGCTGATTGTCCTGCGTGTGTGAGACCTTCTCGGCACCTCCAGATCAAAGCAAAGCCAAGACTGTCACTGGGAACCCCAGGAAAGGAAGCCCCGCCTCCCAGACTGAATGGGGAACTTCAAAGGGAGGACGATGAAGGGCCTGTCACAGCGGACAAGGGGGACCTGGCATCTTGCCAAGCATCCCCCTCACTCTCTTGTCTTGGGGCTTGTTCCGGAACCTTTTCTAACCCTTCTCCCTGCAGTTGGAAAGGTCGTTCAAGTTCCTGAAAGAGGCCGAGGACCAGCTGAAGGCCATCCCGCAGTTCTGCTTCCCCGACGCCAAGGACTGGGCCCCCGTCGAGCAGTTCACCAGGTCTGGGCTCCTCTTTCCCAGGAATTAAAGATGCGGGAGGAGTTGGCAGACCCCAGACTCACCCGGGGCCGCAGAGATGGTGCAGCAGGGAAGTCACTTGCCTTGTACGTGGTCGACCCAGGTCAGATCCCCGGCATCCCATGTGGTCCCCAGCACACTCCCAGGAGTAATTCCTGAGTGCAGAGCCAGGAATAGTCCCTGAGTGTTGGCCTCTGCTGGTGGGTTTCAGGCTTCCCTGGAGAATCAGTTCCCCTAGCAGCCTGGGGTGTTTCTGCTTCCAGAGCCTTCCTCAGGGCAGGGCGGTAATCCAGAGTCAAGGAAAAATGGGCCAAAGCCGTAGTACAGCATGTAGGGCATTTGCCTTGCATGCTGCTGACCAGAGTTTGATCCCCGGCACCCAATATGTTTCCCTGAGCACCACCAGGAATAATTCCTGAGTGCAGAACCAGGAGTAACCCTGAGCATTGCCAAGTATGACCCAAAAAGAAAAAACAAACAAAAAAACACAGTCAAGGAAAAGTGAGGAACATTGCCCACCCCTGGTCTGACATGATGCCCCAGAAACTTCAGTAGCCTGTCCAGCCGCTTCTCAGATTAGGGTGCACGTCCACTGTTCCCATCACGCAGGTTTAAGCCCGGACAGCCCAGCGGACTGGGTCCTCTCCCAGTTTGGGGGACATGTTATTCTCTGAATTTAGCCCAGCCATCTTGGATACTTTGATGCCAGTGTGTACCACAAGTGGCTCACACTCGAATGTGGTTTTATTGACACGAACTGCAGTGTCACGTCCACGTGTCGAGGACAGTCCAAGCCACGCACCCTAGGGGGGCCCCAGCAGCGACGGGCACAGGAAGTGCCCCCCGACCCCCCACTACAGAGGCAGCTCCCAAATACATGCCCATCAATGGTGCATTCCGTGCTTCAAGGAGGAGGTAGTTTCTCACTCCTCCCTTGGACACAGTAACTTCAGAGATACCCCTCCCCAGTGTAGACTGGGGGTTGTCAGGGTCCCAACACCGGGCCGGCCGAGGCTGCTGGGTGAGAGCAGCCAGGGTCCCGCACTTCTGCGTTGCTCTGACACGTCTCACTTTCCCTGCCGCAGTGAAACCTTCTCATTTGTCTTGACCGGCGAGGATGGGAGCAGACGGTTCGGGTACTGCCGGAGACTGCTGGTGAGTACACCACGCCCCTTGCACGGCCAGCCGGGCTGCCCACCCTGCTCGCCACGGCCACAGAGGGGTCAAGGGAAGGAGCAGGTTAATCGGGAGTGATAACCATAAGGGAAGGCTGGAGGGAATAACCCCACTGTCTCCTTCGGAAAAGAAAACACCCGCCATGGAGTTGGGGTGGGGGTGGGGGACAGAGACTGGGGACATTGGTGCTGGGAAATTACACGGGTGGACAGATGGGCGTTGGCACATCGTATGACTGAAACCCAATCATGTGCAGCTTTGTAATGCTTGAACTCACAGTGATTCACTTTTTTAAAAAAAAAAGAAATGAGGAAGCACCCACCATGTACTCTCCCTTCATGTCCTGCAGCCTTGAACTTCTGACAAACCCAGGGCACAGGCCCCAGTATACAAAACCATTCGCAGTGACCTCTAATGGTGGGCGAGCGAGTCCCTGTCCGAAAATCACCTATCCAAGCCAGGAACATATTCCCCAAAGTGACCACAGTGACACTCTTGCGGCTCAGCTTCCTAAGTCCCTTCTTTGCAACACCTCTAGTAGCGACAGACCATATCCCACTCAGAGCATCCTGGTCTCAAACACTGGCCGGAGGGATTCCACACACAGGCACAGAACAGGACATGGTAGATGCTGAATTAATCGGTGAATTTAAAAGAGGATGAAGGGGCTGGAGTGATAGCACAGCGGGTAGGGCGTTTGCCTTGCACGTGGCCGACCCAGGTTCGATTCCCAGGATCCCATATGGTCCCTGAGCACTGCTAGGAGTAACTCCTGAGTGCAGAGCCAGGAGTAACCCCTGTGCATCGCTGGGTGTGACCCAAAAAACAAAAAATAAATAAGGATGAAGAGTCACTGAGACAGTGGGTCATTTCGGTTGAGACTTTGAAGAATGGAGGGGTTTGAAAGAAGTCTCACTTTCCCCACCGCAGTGACACGCAGTGAACTTAAAAGTGAGTTACTGAAAAAAGGAGTTTCAGAAGTGATCTCTCACTTGGAATTTTTTTTAAATTACAGTTTTTATTTGGAGGTTTTGAAGGGAAGGAGAGCGAGAGAGTGGAGAGTAATGCACTCAAAAGAGAATGCGGGCTTCTCTAAGGGCGGAGAGAGCCCCTACACACATCCCAGCATTAGACAGGAAAGCACGAAAGTCCACATCTCAAGAGGGGAGATGCAGGCGACACATGTGCTCAGGCACCACATGTGCACGGCCACGTGGGCGCAAGCAATACATGGGCTCGGGCAGCATCTGCGCTCTCACTTGGAGTTATTATAATGAGTGTGTGGCCTCCCAGTCTTAGAGAACTCAGTGACCTCAGCCACCTTCCTTCTTGATTCAAAGGCCATATCGAGCCCCTGCTGCACACACCACACTTCCCTTGCTTTGGTCCCATCAGAAGAACCAAACGCGTTGATGTCCTGTGACTGGAAGTGTTCTGCCTCTGTCCGTGGGGCATTGGACTCCCCGCCTGAGTGGGTTTGTAAGGTCAGGGTGCAGGGGAGCACCAGGCACGGGGTGGCCACACAGAGACCTTCAGGAAGCTTTTCTGCTAATGCGATTGCTCACCTCGTGTTTCCTTCCAAACAGCCTGGCGGCAAAGGCAAGCGCCTCCCTGAAGTTTACTGCATCGTCAGCCGCCTGGGCTGCTTCAGCCTCTTCTCCAAGGTGAGCACGCAGACTCCAGGAAAGCGAATGTGGAGGGTGGGGTGAGCCCAGACACCCCCTTTCCCCGTGCTCTCAGAACCACTGCGGGCTCTGGCATGCAAAGTATTTTATTTTATTTTTATTATTATTTATTTATTTATATTGCTTTTTGGGGGGGGTCACACCCAGTGATGCTCAGGGGTTACTCCTAGCTCTGCACTCAGGAATTACTCCTGGTGGTGCTTGGGGGACCTTAAGGGATGCTGGGAATCAAACCCGGGTCGGCCACATGCAAGGCAAACATCCTACCCGCTGTGCTATTGCTCCAGTCCCGCAAAGTATTTTAAATTGCGCAACTTACTGGTTCTCCCCCCAAATAAAAAATAGACTGGATGAATTACTTGAAAAAATAAACCCTTTGACTTGCATTTTAATTCAGGGGGGGATGTTGTATTTTATTTTATTATTGTTATTATTATTATTTTTGCTTTTTGGGTCACACCCGGCAACACACAGGGGTTACTCCTGGCTCTGCACTCAGGAACCACTCCTGGCGGTGTTCGGGGGACCATATGGGTTGCTGGGAATCAAACCCGGGTTGGCCACGTGCAAGGCTAACGCCCTACCGCTGTGCTATCACTCCAGCCCCGGGATGTTATATTTTAATATTTTTGTTTGAGGGACCAGGGCGATGGGTTGATTGTTGTTTTTAGGCCACAGCTGTGGTGTCCAGGGGTGACTCTGCACTCAGGGCTGGCCCCAGCCAGACTCAAGGTGATGCTGTGCTGGGGACGGAACCCCGGCCTCCTGTCTGCAGAGCACGAGCTCCGGTCCACTGGGCCATCTCTCCAGCCAAGCCACGTGTGTGTGTGTGTGTGTGTGTGTGTGTGTGTGTGTGTGTGGTGCACACCCAGCAGTGCTGAGGGCTTACTATGACTCTACGCTCAGGGATCACTCTTGGCAGTCCTCAGGGGACCATCTGTGTTTCCGGGGATCAAATCCAGGTTGACCAAGTGCAAAGCAAATGTCTTTCCTGCTGCAGTATCCCTCTGCGCCCCCCCTACCCCACCACCGCTCCTGACTTCTAATGTACAGATTTAGTGAGATAAAACCCAGGACCATACAGTCCAGCCATATACAATCTAAAACCCTGGCTGTGGGCGTAGACGCAGAGTTGTCCAATCACCATCACGAGTTTTAGGGTATTTTCACTGCCCCAACTAGAAGCCCCGCAGTGCTCAGGAGTACTCCCGGGTCCTGAAAACCCTTTGCCCTGCTTTCTTCTCAGAGACTATCTATACTGGGCTGATCCAAGGAGAGCATAGCCCTGTCCGTGACCTCCTTCCTTCCCTCGGTGACCTCAGAGTCCATGCACAGTTTAGCATGTGCTCATTGATTTCCTTCATGACTAAACTATTTTCCTTACATACTCATCACATTTTGCTAACAGCTGGCAGGTAGGTGTGTGCACCTCAGGGCGATTATCACCAACACTGCTATGACACGTTTTGGTTTAATTTTTGGTTCATAACCTGTGTTGCTCAGGGGTTATCCCTGGCTCTGCACTCAGGAGTTACTCCTGGCAGTGCTCTGGGACCATGGGATGCCAGAGATTGAACCTGGGTTGGCTGCGTGCAAGGCAAACGCCCTCCCTGCTGTACTGTCGCTCCAGCCCCAAATGCACACGAGTTTTTATTTAGGTAATAGCATGGGTTATTATCTTAAGAGTATCTTGTGGAAAAGGAGAGAGAGAACACAGGGGATTGCACTGCCACAGAGGCGGGGGGATGGGGGGATGGGGGTGGGGGGATGTTATCCATGGTGGTGGAAAATGGGCACTGGTGGAGGGATGGGTATCTGATCATTGTATAATCGAAACCCAAGCACAAATAATTGTAAATCTACAACTGTAATAAAAAAAATGAAACAAACAAACAAAAAAAAAAGAGTATCTTGTGGTTATCTGCCTTTAACCTTTTGAGGAATTGCCTCAGATTCACCGAAACAGCTTGAGGAAGGTCCAGAGAGATAGTATAGCAGGTGTAAGGCATTCTCCTTGCATGTAGCCATTCCAGGATGGAGCCCCAGCACCCCATATGGTTCCCTGAGTCCCCCTCCCCTCTTGGAGTGATCCCATAGGAGTAAGCCGTGAGCGCTGCGAGGTGTGGTCCAAAACCAAAACCAACCAAACAAAATAATTTGAGGGTTTTCTCCAAGACGCTTCATAATTTTACATTCCCACCAGTGGTGTCAGACAGCACCCACATTCCTAGCTGGCTGTCTTTCCATTCTCGCCATTGAAATGGATGTAAGTGGGGGCTGGAGCAATAGCACAGCGGGTAGGGCGTTTGTCTTGCATGCAGCTGACCTAGGTTCGATTCCCAGCATCCCATATGGTCCCCTGAGCACCGCCAGGAGTAATTCCTGAGTGCATGAACCAGGAGTAACTCCTGTGCATTGCTGGGTGTGACCCAAAAACCAAAAAAAAAGAAAAAAGAAAAATGGATGTAAATGGTCTCCTGGTTTGGGTTTGCACCTCCTGGCTGGGAGTCCCCCAGAGAAGGTCACACATGAACCTTCACACCCAGTCATATTTTACTGGCCCTCAGAGAGCACCAAACCATTACAATACCTGTTTGTTTTCTTTTCTTTTTTTTTTTTTGCTTTTTTGGGTAGGGCTGGAGCGATAGCACAGCGGGTAGGGCGTCTGCCTTGCACGCAGCCAACATGGCCAACCCGAGTTCGATTCCTCCGCCCCTCTCGGAGAGCCCAGCAAGCTACCGAGAGTATTCGATATGCCAGACACAGTAACAACAAAGTCTCCAATGGAGACGTTACTGGGCCCACTCGAGCAAATTGATGATCAGTGGGAGGGCCTTTACTTACTTTTACTTTACTTACTTTTTGGGTCACACCCCACGATACACAGGGTTTACTCCTGGCTCATGCACTCAGGAATTACCCCTGGCGGTGCTCAGGGGACCATATGGGATGCTGAGAGTTGAACCCAGATCAGCCGGATGCAAGGCAAACGCCCTACCCGCTGTGCTATTGCTCCAGCCCCCTGTTTGTTTTTCTTTTTTTACCACCAACCCCAGAGTCCCACTGCGGCCCAGTTGTTCCCACTGAGAACGTGCTTGCATGCATGATCAGTCCCATAAATCCCACTGCCAGACCCAGCAGGGTCTTAGGATTTTCCTCCCAGAAGTTCTATTGACCTAAGTTTTATTGCCGAGGGCCTTTCCCTGTCTACCTGCCTACCTCACAGGGAAACCAGGAACTGCAGAGCACAGGGCAGAGGGAGTGGGCGAGAGGGCATCCACTGCGGGCAGCGTGGCTTCCCCAGGCTGCTCCCAGCGGAGACGCCGCCTTCCCCATTGCTGCTTCTCTGCTCCTCCCTGCAGATCCTGGATGAGGTGGAGAAGCGACGAGGCATCTCTCCCGCGCTGGTGCAGCCCCTCATGAGGAGCGTTGTGGAAGCCCCGTTCCCAGCCCTGGGCAAGACCATCGTGGTCAAGAACTTCCTCCCCGGTTCTGGGAATGAGGTGAGCCCCGGCCTGTTTCTCCAAGACAGGACTTGGGGGAACCCCTCGACTGCATCCCGGCGTCCTGCGGACTGACTCCCCGTGGGTCCTCACCCCATGATGTCCCTTCCTCAGACCTCAGAAATGCCCTCTAAGCCCAGTGTAGCCCACCCAGGATCCAGCACCAGACCTGGGCCCTGGCTCCCCTCTACTGCGTGGCCTGTGGCTGACCTGGACAGTCAGGGCCAGCACTGGGCTCTCTCGGCTTCTCCGCCACCCCAGAACCTTCTTCCGCTATGTCTGAACCTACTTTCATGGCTGGTGTGTATTGTTTCTCCCTGTCAGGTGAAACAGGTTCTTTTTAGGACAGAAAAGATGCCAGGGCTTCATCCGGGACTGGGAAGCATCCCCTTTCCTGGCCAGGCGGGTGGGTGGAGTCAGAAGAAGGAAAGTGTTTCTTTCTTCGGGAGGAGGGTGTGTGTGTGGGGGGGGGCACACATAAGGCAGAGTTCAGGGCTCAGGATGACTCCTGATGGGGCTTGGGGGACCAAAGGATGTTCCTGGGATCGTACCTGGGTCAGCCATGAGTGAGGCAAGCACCCTTCCCGCTGTACTGCGCTTCCGCTCAAGGAATGTGTTTCCTGTCCCCTCCAGTGGCTCTGGGGCCATCAGGTGCAACCCACGCTGCCTTCTAAGGGGCAAGCGGCTCTGTGGGACACTGAGGGGGGCTGCAGGTGAGTGGAGGCAGCGGCTGATGCAGGGCAGTCCTAAACCTCACTGGCCCTGGGCAGTGCCTGAGAGAGCCCCAGCACATAGGTAAGCCACAGGGCCTGAGCGTGAAGCCCCTGTGAGTTCATCCAGATACTGATGGAGACTCAGAGAGAGGAACGTGGGGCTGAGGAGAGGGAGTCTGGCTCTGTACGCCTCGTGATTCCATCCCTGGCAGTACACACATGCCTGCGCGCACATATGCAGGCACACACACACAAGCATGTACACGCACACACGTGCCCGTATGCAGGCACACACATGCACACGCAGGCACACGCACACGTGTGCACATATGCACACACAGGCATACATACACGCACGCCCACACATATACGGGTACGTACGCACAGACACACACGCGTGCACATACGCACGCAAGGGAAAGTGTCAAGGCAGACCCGTGCACCCGAGCAGTCAGGTGGGTAGATTCAAGAACGTTCCCTCGAGTACTGAGGAGTAGCGGGCGAGGCAGGAGGCAGAGGCAGAGGCCCTGTCCTGTGTCACTCCAAGGCCCGGACTGTGTCCCCTACTCCAGGTGCCCCTGGGCAGAGTCGCCCGCGCCAAGGAGCGCTCCTGGCCATGTGGACCGGGCTGCCACTTCAGTGCCCTCTCACACCCCAGCCGGGCTGCGTGCAAAGCACAGTGTCCCCGTGTCCCCCAGCCAGTCCTGCCTGCTCCTTTTATTTATTTATTTATTTATTTTTATTAGTGAAACACCATGAGCAACAGTTGTAGACGTACAAATGTTTGTGCTTGGGTTTCGATTATAAAGGAATGAAAGATGAAAGGGAGGAAGGAAGGATAAAAACATCTCAGACAATCACCCTCACTGTCCTGTTGTTCATCGATTTGCTCGAGCGGGCCCAGTAACGTCTCCATTGTGAGACTTGGTTGTTACTGTGTTTGGCATATCCAATACGTCATGGGGAGCTTGCCAGGCTTTGCCGTGTGGGCGGGATACTCTCGGTAGCTTGCTGGGCTCTCCGAGAGGGGTGGAGGAATCGAACTCGGGTCAGTCAGGTTGGCCGCTTGCAAGGCAAACGCCCTACCCGCTGTGCTATCACTCCAGCCCTCTGCCCGCTCCTTTCTGTCCCCGGAGCCTCTCGGTTCCCTTTCCTCTCCCCTCTCACCTACCAAGGGCCTGGATGAGGGGCTGGTACCCCACCTCACTGCTCCCGGGCCCGCAGGTGATCGAGCTGTGCCGGCCCCTGGACTCCCGGCTGGAGCACGTGGACTTCGAGTCCCTCTTCTCCTCCCTCAGCGTCCGCCACCTGCTCTGCGTCTTCGCCTCGCTGCTCCTGGAGCGGAGGGTCATCTTCATCGCCGACAGGCTCAGGTAGCCAGCTGGGGGGGAGGGCACTGCAGAGCCGTGAACAGGACAGGGGAACAGAGCTGGAAGTGGCGACCTGGAAGTCAGGAGGCCCCAAACCCCATGCCAGAAGGCCGAGGACCCCAAACAGCATTTTAGAGAACTAGCACTCAGCAGCCCCCTCGAAACCTGTTTGCTTTGGTTTGGTTGGTTGGGGTTTAGAATTGGTTTCTGTTTGGGGGCCACACCCAGCGTGGCTTAGGGGCTATTCCTGACTCTGTGCCCAGGCGTGAGCCCTGGCTATGCTCTGGGAGCCAAATGTGGTGCCAGACTGGGGCTGGTCACCTGCAGGTCGAGTGCCTGGCCGGGCGGGGCTGTGGGTCAACCCAGGACTTCTATCTTGGGACTCCCTGACCCTCTTGTCTAAGCACCTTGAAAGGAAAAGGGGTTGGGGCTGGAGCGATAGCAGAGCAGATAGGGCATTTGCCTTGCACGTGGCCGACCCGGGTTCGATTCCCAGCATCCCATATGGTCCCCCGAGCAATGCCAAGAGTAATTCCTGAGTGCGGAGGCAGGAGTAACCCCTGTGCATCGCCGGGTGTGACCCAGAAAGCAAAAAAAAAAAAAAAAAAGGAAGGAAAAGGGGAGCAGAAAGAAAGGGGAGCTGGGTGTGGAGCAATAGGACAGCAGGCTGGGCGTTTGCCTTGTACACGGCCGCCCCAGGCTCCATCCCTGCCATTCCTTATGGTCTCCGAGCACCGCCAGGAGTAATTCCTGAGTGCAGAGTCAAGAGGAACCCCTGAGCATCTCCGGGTGTGGTCCAAAAATCAAAAAAGTCGGGGGCTGGAGTGATAGCAGAATAGGTAGGGCGTTTGCCTTGCACGCGGCCGACCCGGGTTCGATTCCCAGCATCCCATATGGTCCCCTGAGCACCGCCAGGGGTAATTCCTGAGTGCAGAGCCAGGAGTAACCTCTGTGCATCGCTGGGAGTGACCCAAAAAGCAAATAAATAAATAAATAAATAAATAAGAAAGGAGAGCTTGGCCGAGACTAGAGGTTATCCAAGGACAGCAGAGGGAACTCTCAGAGGTGCAGGGCCCGGAGCAGGGATGCTGCTGGGAAGGACAAATGGGACCTGGCCCCTTCTGGGACATCCCTGGACAGATCTCTGACACCGCCATAAGAAAAGACCAAGGACAGGCACCTCCCGTCCACACTCAGTCAGCAGGCAGCCAGGTGTGAGCAGGCAGGAGCACCGGGCCCAAGGCCTATTCTCAGCAGCTCCCTCTGCTAGTGCTCTCCTGGTGGCCAGAGCAGGCCTTGGTGGAGGGGTGTGTGTGTGTGTGTGTGTGTGTGTGTGTGTGTGTGTGTGTGTGTGTGTGTGTGTCCTAGGGCCAGCTCTTGGGGCAGGTAGGAGAAGGCCTGTGGGCCCACTGGCTAACTTCGCTCTCACTGTTCTGGACCAGGGGTGTGTGTGTATGTGTGTGTGTGTGTGTGTGTGTGTGTGTGTGTGGCCTAGGGCCAGCTCTTGGGGCAGGTAGGAGAAGGCCTGAGGGCCCGCTGGCTAACTTCGCTCTCACTGTTCTGGACCAGGGGTGTGTGTGTGTGTGTGTGTGTGTGTGTGTGTGTGTGGCCTAGGGCCAGCTCTTGGGGCAGGTAGGAGAAGGCCTGAGGGCCCACTGGCTAACTTCTCTCTCACTGTTCTGGACCAGGGGTGTGTGTGTGTGTATGTGTGTGTGTGTGTGTGTGTGTGTGTGTGTGTGTGTGTGTGGCCTAGGGCCAGCTCTTGGGGCAGGTAGGAGAAGGCCTGAGGGCCCGCTGGCTAACTTCGCTCTCACTGTTCTGGACCAGGGGTGTGTGTGTGTGTGTGTGTGTGTGTGTGTGTGTGGCTTCGGGCTACTCTCACTGTTCTGGACCAGGAGGGAAACCTAAAGGGCACCGGGCACCCCCAGATTAGGTCCCCAGCACCTGAAAGCAAAACCAAGCAGCTTCGCATGCGGGGCTGGAGAGATGGCACCAGGAGGCAATATGCTTACCTTGCATGCAGCCCACCCAGGCTTGGTCCCTGGCCACACGACGGCCTCCTGTGAGCACTGCCAGGCGCACATCCAGGTGTGGCCCGGGCCTCAGTCTGATTCCCCATCCGCAGAGTCAGTGGCGCTGCCCGCTCTGCCGCCTGCCCAGTCCAGCAGAGGTGGAAGCGCATCTCGGGGGACCCATTTCCGTCTCTAGTCTCATCTTCGCCAGAGCCTGAGAACCGGATGAGCCACCCCCACAGGGAGCCACCCCATCACCTCCCGGGTGCTCAGGAGCTGGCTTTGGGTCTGGGGTCACCGCGGCCCCCGCCCCCCAACACACGCTTTATTGATGCTGCGTCACGGGCCCTGCTGCTATGGGAGGAAGTGGCGGGGAGTCGGGCAGAGAGTGCAGGAGCTGTAACGGGGTTCAAGTGGTGCCAAGAGCCCGTCAGCTTGAGACTAACATTCCTGCTTCGTTTCATCTTTGGTGGGGGGGACATGGAGTGTCCCAAGGCTGTGTCAATCCGCGGTTAGACAGGAAAGAAAGAATGGTGTTGTGGTGGCTCGTTTGGTCGTCATGGCAACCCTGCCAAATATTTCCCCAGGCCCCCTTTCTTCCATTTCCCGCATCATAAACATTCTATTTCTTCGTTGAACGTTGAATCATTTCGAGTCCCCAGGTTTTGGCTTAAACTTCTTGACAAGAGCCCAGCAGAAAAGTCTAAACTCTCCCACGGACAAAATTTCAGGGGGTGTGTGAACTGCCCCCAATAGCCACAAAACCGACTGTGTGTCTTTTTTTTTTTTTTTTTTTTTTACTTTTTGGGTCACACCCGGTGATGCTCAGGGCTTACTCCTGACTCTGCGTTCGGGAATTACTCCTGGCGGAGCTCAGGGGGCCATATGGGATGCTGAGACTCAAACCCAGGTTGGGCACATGCAAGGCAAACACCCTACCCACTGTGCTATCCCTCCAGCACTCCCCCCACCCCGGACTGTGTGTCTTTGTGTTCCATTAAGACCATAGGCCAGTGGTGGGACCCTGGCTATTGTTAATGGGGCAGGGGCTCTGAGACACAGCTGTGACAACAGTCACGGCTCATCCAGAAGGAACTTTCCACCCTCATCCTACTCTGTGCTCCTTGGGGGCCTTTTTTTGGTTCGTTTTGGGGCCACACCCAGTGGTGTTCAGGGCCTATGCCTGGCTCTGGGCTCAGGGATCACTCCCGGTGCTTGGGGGACTGTGTGTGCCACCTGGGATCATAGCTGGGTAGGTGGCACATAAGGCAAACGGCCTTAACCCCTGTTCTATCACTCTGTCCCCTCAACTATTACGGTCACGGTCTTCCCGTTGTTCATCGATTTGCTCGAGCGGGCCCAGTAACATCTCCATTGTGACACTTGTTACTGTGTTTGGCATATTGAATACGTCACGGGGAGCTTGCCAGGCTTTGCCGTGCGGGCGAGATACTCTCAGTAGCTTGCCGGGGTCTCGGAGAGGGGAGGAGGAATAGAACTCGGGTCGGCCATGTTGGCTGCATGCAAGGCAAACGCCCTACCGCTGTGCTATCGCTCCAGCCCCCCTCAACTATAAAGGCTCGTTATTTCTTTTTGTTTCATGTTTTGGCCACACCTATTCAGGGCTTACTCCTGGCACTGCTCCTAGGGGTCACTGCTGGAGGGGCTCATGGGCCATAGGCAGTGCAGGAGATCAAACCTAGGTGGGCCACATACAAGGCAAGCACCGTGTTATCTCTCTGACCCCGCAACTCTTTCTTTCTAAGACATGTCCGAGGTCTAAAGGTTCTGTGATTCTCTAACTTCCTTGGAGTCAAGGAGGCTTATGCCCACAACTCTGAAATCTTGAAGGACTTGATTTAATCATGAGCTCTGCACTGGCCTTCTCCTTTCGTGAATGGGCTTAAGTCTCTGGCTACTGATGCCTGGAGCTGGCGACATCGACCACCTGCTCTGCAGGTAATACATAGGAACTTATTACAAGTGCACCCAACATGGGTTCCCAGAAGGGGCACCGTTCAGAGATCTCCATCCTAGATTCCCTCAAGAGACTAACTCCCTCTTGTCTTAGAAATGAAAGCCAACATCACAAAATTGAAACAAGTAATATGGAACATCTCTCAGAGCTGACTCATCCTGGCTCCGTACACCGGCATCTCCTGGCTCCATACAATAGCATCTTGTCTGGACCAGACAACTTATTCTCTGGTCCAAACCATTGGCTTCCAACCCTTTCCGGTGGGTGCCACCTGCAAGGAGAGAAATTTTGCACATTCAAACCCAATCCAAGTCCATGCAGCCACCCAGTGATCACCGTTGCAAAAAATGTAGCATGTGTTTCTATCCCTTTTGCTACTTTGTGTGCTAATCACAAATCACTAAAATTATTGCAGAACCCCTAATGGGCCACAAAATCCCAGTGGAATAAAACCTGCAGGAGACACAGCTCTATTCATCTGTATCTGCTCTCAGCTGTGGTGTGTGAATAGCCACCTTTGTATTCCGGCCACTCAGGAGCACAGAAGTTTCCTAAAATCCACCATATTAGGTTTCTACTTGGAAGACCAGCTGCTGCCTGATTGAGGAAGTATTTTATCATTTAGTTAGAGAATTTAACAAGACATTCAAGAGAGCACAGAGGGGTTAACGTTGCATGCAGCCCACCCTGGTTCAGTCCCTGACACCACAGGGTCCCCTAAGCATAGCCAGGAGTTACCCCTGAGCACCATTCAGGTGTGACCAGGTCCTGGAGAAGGAAAAAAAAATTGTACAATGAAGTGATGTCAATATATTCAGTGATACCTTTTTTTTAAATTTTTTTGCTTTTTTTGTGTCATACCCAGTGATGCTCCTGGCTCTGAACTCAGGAATTGCTCCTGGCAGGGCTCCGGGGACCATATGAGATGCTGGGAATTGAACCTGGGTTGGCCGTGTGCAAGGCCAGTGCCCTACCCTACAATGTACTATCGCTCCAGCTCCCTTCAGTGATATCTTGACCAAGGATACCAACAGGAACCATAAGTGATTTTCTGGAAGCACTTATGTTCTTAAATATCCAACAAAGATGTCTCTGCCTGGGAACAGAAGTCTAGGGATTCCGTGCTGGTGGGCACACTGACCTCGCCCACTCTAACTGAGCTGCTTGGGCTCACTCTTATCTAAAAAGGAAGGTATCATGTGAACACAAGAACAAAATCGTGGGGCCGGAGCGATAGTACAGCAGGCAGGATACTTGCCTTGCACGCAGCAGACGTGTGTTTAATCCCTGGCATCCCATGTGGTTCCTGAGCACCACCCGGAGTGATCGCTGAGTGCAGAGCTAGAAGGAAGCCCTGGGCATCGCTGGCTGTGACCCAAAACAACAAAACAAAAAAGTCTAGTCAGTATGTTTTCACTCTTCTCCTTCTTAAGTAAACCAGAACTCAGTGATTTTTTTTTAAAGTGGGCTCAAGGCAATTTGATGACAGTGAGCTCATAACTGTGGCGTCATGGAAACCAACACAGGCATGTTGGTCGGGCCTGAACTCAGCTGCCTCCTCGCTCCCCTGGGCAGAGCAAGCTGAGAGGAGATGCCCTGGGCATCTGGCGCCAGGCATTGCTCTGCAGGGGTGCCCGGACTCCAGGGGGCCCCAGGTGCCCTCCCCTGCCAGTGTCCCCACTGCACATGTGTCTGTGGAAGCTGAGTGAGGGGCTGCTTGGGGCAGGCTCAGCAGCCCCAGAACCCTCGCCCAGGAAGGGGAGGAAAATCGGTCCGACCTGGGCAGGCTGCTGGCTTGCACACAGGGCTTACAGTGCCTGCTGACCAGTGCACGGTCACGAGTTCAAATCCCTGGGGTTCCCCATGGGCCAACCACCAGCCCAGCAGCCCTGCCAGTGTTTGCGCCTGGCAGTTCTGCCCTCTGTGAAGCCGTGAGCAATTTCTGGTTGCCCCATAGCCAGGGGTGGGTGCGTGCATGTGTGCATGTGTACGTATATTTGCATGTGCATACGTGTATGTATGTGTGTATGTGTGCATGCGTGTGTGCATGTGTATGTGTGTTTGCATGTGTATACGTGTGTGCATGTGTGTGTGTGCGTGGGTGCATGTGTATGTGTGTGCATATGTAGACGTGTGTGTATGCATGTGTGTGCGTGCATCTGTGTGTGCTTGTATGTGTGTGTGCTTGTATGTGTGTGTGTTGTGTGTGTGTGACCACACTGAATAGTACCACAGTAGGGCTGGAGCACAGCCATGCATGCGGGGTCTGAGGCCTGGCACACGTGGTCCGCTGAGCACCCTGGGGACTGTCCTGGTGGCCCCAGGCCCATCCTGGCCCGAATGACATCAATTGCTGGGCCTGAGTATTACCCCTCAGGCCTGCCCTCAGAGCACCCCCACGCCTCCCGTTAATAAAGCTGTGAAAAACAACAAGAAACAAGTCAAAACATGTGAAAACTGGGTGCTGGTGAATGGGGGGCTCAGTACTCAGCAGAGCGCAGCGCAGTCACTGTTCCTGCAGGGGGAACTGCACGATGGGCTGATTCCCAGCTCTGTGCTCAGGACTCACCTGGCAGTGCTCCGGGGACCATAGTCAGTGCCAGGATCAAACCCGCGCCCTTCCTGCTCTGCTTTCCCTCCAGGGTGATGGGTTTTGTCGCAGCCTGATGGGGCACAAGCCCCATGCAGGGACCCTTTGGACTTAGCATTAAGTCCCCTGAGCTGTGCCCAGAGTCCCTCTCAGCGGCTCCTGGGTCTGGCACAACCGGTTGTCGCCCCCCCCCCCCAGTCCCCCCTATGCAGGCATGCTGCAGGCGGGGGCGCTGAGCTAACCCCCCCTTCTCTCCTGTCCCCAGCACACTGTCCAAGTGCTGCCACGCCATGGTGGCTGTCATCTACCCCTTCGCCTGGCAACACACCTACATCCCGGTACTGCCCCCTGCCATGATCGACATCGTGTGCTCACCCACCCCCTTCCTCATCGGGCTGCTCACTAGCTCGCTGCCGCTGCTACGGGAGCTGCCCCTGGAGGAGGTGAGTGGGGCGGGCACTGCACACCGCGGGCGGAGACGGGTGGCGGGTACTGCACACTGTGGGTGGAGGCAGGTGACAGGCAATGCACACCACGGGTGGAGGCAGGTAGCTCGGCTCTGCAGGTGAGCTGGCAGGCACTGCATCCTGTGGACGGAGGCGGGTGGTGGGCATTGCACACCTCGGGCGGAGGCGGGTGGGTCAGCTCTGCAGGCAGCAGGGAGGAGGATGGGACTCTCCCCTGGGACTGCATTCACTCCCCGCCCCCAAATGGACCTGCTGCTGTGGACGTCCGCTGACAGGGATGGTCAGTGGTGGTCACAGCACTGTGAGACACCGGCCCCCTCCCCACCCCCAGCACCTGGGGGGGGGGTGCAGTACCCGGGGTTTGCATCTGGGCTGGCGACAGAGTTGGAAGGGGTCAGAGAGAGAGTGCAGCGGACAGGGTGCTGGCCTTGCGTGTGGCCAGCCTGGAGTTCAATCCTGGTGCCCACTAGGGTCCCCTGAGCCCACCAGGAGCGATCCCTGAGTACAGAGCCAGGAGTCAGCCTGAGCACTGCTGGGTGTGGCCCCCAGGGCTGGCCCAGGCTGCCCTTTCTGAGGCCTTTCCCTGGTCACTCTGAGGCCACTTCCCACCCAAGGGCTCTTGGGCCGCCTCCTTGGCCTCTGCAGCACTTCACTCCGGCCCCTTCTCGACGGTCACTGTCCCCGGGTACGGACAACCTGAAGAGGGACGCCAGCCGCTCTGCACCCCAAAAATGCCCCTCAGTCCCTGGAGGCGGCACTCAGACACCTGGTCCTACTCCATCCAGTTGGGACCAGCAGGTCTGGGCCCTTGAGCTACAAGGTTGGTGGGCAGGCACCCTCTGGGGTCACCCCAGAATGTTCTAGAAGGAAGACTATCTCTGCAGGAAGTGAGGGCCCAGATGCTTCCAGCTGGTGGTAGGGCAGGTCCCCTGCCCCTCTCTATCATGGCCTGTGGCCCCTGGGGGCCAAGACCCTGGGCCCCACCCCCCCAGGAGAAGTGGGGGCAGGTGCCTTCTCCGGAAGCTCAGCTAATGGAAACCTATCACCTGTCATTTCCCATGTTCCTTGGACACCCCCCACCGGGTGTGTCCCCTCCTGACATGGACTGATGGAGTCGAGCAGACAGTCCAGGAGCTCAGAGAAGCCGGGGCTGGGCGGATGGCGTCTTTCCCTCCCCGCAATCCGGGAGCTGGAGCTGGTGGGGCCCATGGCTCTTGGGTGCTGGAGCGCCCCCCCACCCCCACCCCCGTCCCACACCGTCTCTGGCTGTGCCACCTGCTGCCTCTCCAGGCCCCAGGTGGAGCTGGCCATGAGCCCATGGGCCTCCCCTGTGACCAGCCCTTCTCCGTGTCCCGTAGGTCCTGGTGGTGGATCTTGTCAACGACCGGTTCCTCCGACAGGTGAGCTGGAAAGCGGAGCCCCCTCCCAGACCACTCTCCGTGTCTCCTCTTTGTCCTTGGGCCTCCTAGGGGGCTTGGGGGGCAGAGCAGGCTGGCTTGGAGCACCTCTGCCAGGGCAGGACTGAGGATAAGACAGGGGCAGGGGGCTGGAGTGATAGCCCAGCGGGTAGGGTGTTTACCTTGCACGCGGCCGACCCGGGTTTGATTCCCAGCATTCCATATGGTCCCCCGAGCACCGCCAGGAGTGATTCCTGAGTGCAGTGCCAGGAGTAACCCCTGTGCATCGCCGGGTGTGACCCAAAAAGCAAAAAAAAAAAAAAAAGAAAAGAAAAAGACAGGGGCAGGGCCGAGGGTAGGATGGCAGAGGATGGATTTCCTCTGGCACCACTGAGAACCTTGGTGTCTGTTACAGCAACAGACACTCATCCTCTTCCTCGTGCTCCTTATGAATACTCAAGCAAGGGGCCTCTGCATAGCTCGGCTGGGAGGGCACTTGCCTTGGACAACCATCCGGCACCCCATATGGTCCCCTGAGCCCACCAGAATGATCCCTGAGCCAACGATCACAGAGCCAGGAGTCAGCCCTAAGTATCAGGAGGTTGGCCCCAAAGCAACAACAAAATCTCGATCATGGCCCGGAGAGGCAAGCACAGGTAGGGCACTTGCATTGCACTCAGCCTTCCTGAGTTTGGTCCTCGAGCCCCACCAGGGGTGACCCCTGAGCACAGAGCCAAGGATCAGCCCTGCCCGAGCAACGCTGGGTGTGGTCCCCCCACACAAAGAATGTTTGGGCACAAAGGTCTAATCAGAGATGGGGGAAATCAGCATGCAAACTTATATACAGATTTCCCTCAAGTGGCTTCTGTCCTGATAAACCCAGGAATAGCGGGAAATATCGCTAAGTGGGTGATCCATTTGCTCTCTCTCACCCGCCAACAGCTCGCCTACTCATCAGAGTGCGGCCCAGTGTGAACCTGGTCACACTCAGATGCCCCAGTGGGGCAAAACTCAGGTTTGTTTCATAACTAAGCGTCGGCTGGCTCATGTCGCTGATTGAACTCTGTCCGCCTTAGAGTCTCCACTTACCGTGGTGACAGCCAAGCAACTCCTGGCTCAGTGCTCAACAATGACACCCTAGTGACTGAAGCAAATATCACAGCGGGGAGGGCATTTGCCTTGCAGGTGGCCAACCCGGGTTTGATTCCCAGCATCCCATATGGTCCCCCGAGCACCACCAGAAGTAATTCCTGAGTGCAGAGCCAGGAGTAAACCCTATACATACGGGGTGTGACCCAAAAAGGAAAAAAAAAAAAAAGAATGACACCCTAGGGCCAGAGATAGCCAGCACAGTGGGTATGCTCTATCCGCTGTAGGGACCCAGTCCAAACACCATTTGTTAAAGAAATTACCCTTTCTACACTGAGGATTCTTTTTGTTTTGTTTGCTTTTTGTCTTTGTTTTGGGACCACACCAGTGGTGCTCAGGACTTATTCCTGACTCTGAGGGATCACCTCTGACAGTGCTCAGGGGACCGTTTGTGGTGCCAGGGGTGAGACCTAGTTTGGTAGATACAAGGCAGGTGCCCTACCTGCTGTACCATCGCTCCGGCCTCCCACACTGAGTATTCTTGATTCACTTGTCAGACATTAGTTGAGACACTTCACTGTGGGGTTGTCCACACCCCAGCCTTAGGTGAGTGATCCTCTTCCTTTCCTTTACAGGACTCTCCTCTCTTCCTCCTCTCTCTTCTCTCCTATTTCCTAAAGACAGCTGTCTACTTCAAGGGCCAGAGAGAGCACAGGGGTAAGGCATTTGCCTTGCATGCAGCCAGTTCCTGAGTGTTGCCAAGTGTGACCTAACTTTCCCCTAAGTGCATATGCATATGCCCCAAATATACAGGCGTTATACTCAGGACTCTGAATTCTGTCCCTGAGTCTCTATGCGTCTGTGTTTAAGCCAGCGCCTTACTGTTCTGATTATTATTAGGTTTGAAATTAGGAATTGTGGGGCTGGAGCGATAGCACAGCGGGTAGGGCATTTGCCTTGCACACGGGTTCAATTCCCAGCATCCCGTATGGTCCCCGAGCACCGCCAGGAGTGATTCAGGAGTAACCCCTGTGCATCACCGGGTGTGACCCCCCCCAAAAAAAAAATCAGGAATTGTGATATCTTCAGCTTTTTCCTTCTCAGAACTTCTTTGGCTGTTTGGGGATCTTTGGTTCTGCAAAAATCTGAGGGTTAGCTTTTTCCTATTTCTGTGAAAAACGCCCTTGCAGTGTGATGGGAATTGCACTGAATCCCTCGAGGGTTATGGGCAGTTTGGCGTTTTAACCCCGTCCATCCCCCCCCCACACCCACTAGCTCGGCTGTCCCTCTTGTATGGTCTCTCCTCCCCTTGTCGGTTGCTGCCCTTCATCTTGACCATGAGGTTGGCATCGATTAGTAGCTCAGCTGGAGAAGCCAAGGTCAAGCCACGTGGAATCAGTCTTCCCACTCAGCTCTGGCCCTAAGCCTTCTGGGACTGGGGTTTTACTGTTTGTTCCTAAGCCGGGACTGGCCCGGTCCCCACAGACCAGGCCCATCAGCCTCCTGCTTGTCCCTTTGCAGATGGACGATGAGGACTCCATCCTGCCGCGGAAGCTTCAGGTTGCCCTAGAGCACATTCTGGAGCAGAGGAATGACCTGGCCAGTGACCAGGAGGAAGGGGCCCCGGACTGCCGGCATGGTGAGTGCTCGGTCCCCTCCGCTGTGTGAGGTTGGGACAGGGGTCAAGGCCGGGTGTCCCCCTCCACACCCAGGTAAGTAGCAACAGGGACCAGAGAGGCAACGAAAAGAAACTGGTGGGGGCTGGAGTGGTAGCACAGCGGGTAGGGCGTGTGTCTTGCACGCGGCCGGCTTGGGTTCGATTCCCAGCATCCCATATGGTCCCCCGAGACCCAGGTTCAATTCCCAGCATCCCATATGGTCCCCGGAGCACCTCCAGGAGTAATTCCTGAGTGCAGAGCCAGGAGGAACCCCCGAGCATCACCGGGTGTGACCGAAAAAGAGAAAGAGAGAGAGAGAGAGAAAGAGAGAGAGAGAGAGAGAAATTGGATGCCTGGTCCCGTGGTTTGAATTTCACCCCAATTGTGAATTCCGAGGGCTTTTCCCATCTCCCCAGCCTGGCCCCGGAGTGTCACCCTACAGAGGGGAGGCCGGGGCTGGCTGTAGCCATTGCACAGCAGGTGAGGCCTTTGCCCTGCATGTAGCCAAACCCGGATTCGATTCCCCGGCATCCCATAGGGTCCCCTGAGCACCACCAGGCGCAGAGCCAGGAGTAAGCCCTTGAACATTGCTGGGTGTGGCCCCCAAACTAACACTGGAAGGATGCCCAGACCTCCCTTCCACGAAGCCAGCGGCCACCCCCCGCGCCTCACACGTTTGTCCCCCCTCCCCGCCGCCCAGGCCCCGAGTGCAGCCCCTTGAACGAGGTGGTATCCGAGGCCTTCGTGCGCTTCTTCGTGGAGGTGGTGGGCCACTACTCGCTCTTCCTGACGCCGGGCGAACGTGACGAGCGCAGCCTGCAGCGCGACGCCTTCCGCAAGGCCGTGTCGTCCAAGAGCCTGCGCCGCTTCCTGGAGGTCTTCATGGAGACCCAGACCTTCCGGGGCTTCATCCAGGAGCGAGAGCTGCGCCGGCAGGACGCCAAAGGTGGGGGCCCTCCGGGGACCCGTCCCTCTCCGCTCAGCCTTTGTCCTTTCCCAAGCCTCTGTCCTGCCTCCTGCCCGTCTGTCTCCCAGGGGGTCCCCACTGTGGGAGTCTCTGGGCTGAGGACTCTCCCTGGGCTTCTCTCTGCCCCTTCCCCTGGAACCCTCTGCTACTTCTGCACAATCCTGGGGATGAGGGGACAGCAGAGGAGAAAGGGGGTGTCACCAGGACTGGGGGGTGCCAAGGCTCCAACCAGGTGATGTGCACAGGTGCTCGGCAGGGGTGCACGGGTCTGGCACGTGAAGCCTGGGGGTCGAGCCTGCAGCGCCTGAACAAGGACTCGAAGGTTCCGGAAGGGCAGTTCCAGGGGGAGTTAGGCCTGGGTGAGGCAGAGAGGCCGGCCCAGGGGGGCCCAGGAGCAGCTGACCCACACCCCGGGTCCTGACCCATGTCCCCGGGTCCTAGGCGTAGCCCCTGTGCCCAGGCTGTTGCTGTCCAGGTCATTCTAATGGTTGGGGGCTGAGGGGACAGACAGGGGTTGGCTAGTTGCTGAGTCCCAGGGGTCCCATGAACAGAGGTTAGTCTTGGGGTTCATGCAGTCTTCTGAGCTTCCGTTGGGGATCTGGGGAGAAACCTCCTGGAGAGTAGGAAGCCAAGGGCAGCGCCAGGCCCAAGAGGTGGCCGGTCCACCCCCCCCACCCCCAAGGGACTCCTGGCCCCTGGAGAGGGTCGCCTGCCAGGCACTGCAGAGCCGTATGGCGTTTGCTGGCACACGTGAGCTGGCGCCCCGCTTCCCAAAGCCAGTCACCCCGGCAGCAGGCAGGGACAGAGGGGTGGGGGCAGGGGGGAGGTTGGGAAGGGCGTCACGGCTGCGGTTCTCTCCTCGCAGGTCTGTTTGAGGTCCGTGCCCAGGAGTACCTGGACACGCTGCCCAGCGGCGAACACAGCGGCGTCAACAGGTTCCTGAAGGGACTGGGTGAGGCCCCTCCCCTCCCCCCCATCCAGGGTGCCCCCGCGACAAGGGCCCCTAGACACTCTTCCCCTCCCCCTCTCAGATCTCTGAGGAACTGAGAATAGGAAGCAAGAGGGAGGGACCGGCGAGACAGTGCAGTGGGGAGGACACCTACTTGCTTTGCATGCGGCCGACCGGGTTCGGTCCCTGATGCCCCAGATGGCCCCTCCAGGAGGGATCCCTGAGTGCAGAGTAAGGAGTCGGCCAGCCCTGAGCATCACTGGATGTCACCCGGAAACTACCCCTCCCACCAAAAGAAGAAGGAGCAAGAAGGGAAGCAGAGGAGGGGGGAAGAGAGCGGGAAGGTGGGGTCCGAGGTGGGTGGGACAAGGGCCCTCGAGGAAAGGGAGAGCCGAGGAAAGCAAAGGAGAGGCGCGAGGGGCCAGCCCCCCAAAGGAGCCTTGTTTGGCGAGGGTCCCAGGCATGTACCCCCAAACCCTGCAGGTCGCCCTACCCAGGAGCTGCCCGCCCTGGCTCCTGGGTATGGCCACCCACCCTCGGTAGGACGGGGGACCCCTTTCCCACGGGGAGACTCGAAACGGTGCGGTGTCCCCACATGTCCCCAGGATGGAGACCCCCAACTCTCGGCTGCGCCCCTGGGGAGAGGAAGGAAAGGTGGGGGCCACCCTGACTGCCCCCCCCTTTTCCTCTCTCCACCAGGAAACAAAATGAAGTTTCTCCACAAGAAGTAATCCTCCGCCCAGCACCAGGCAGCCTGTCCCCGCGTGGGGCCCCTCAGAAACGCAGCGGGGACCGGAAAGGGGCCATCCTGGACCTCAGCACTGGAAACGGGGTGGGGGGGCCTGAGGCTTGTCACCCCGCCCTCGTGGATGGGACTGGGGGCCAGTTTGTTGGATATTTTTTCTATTGTTTAATCGAAAGGAAAGTCCGTGGGGTTTTTTTTTCCACTGTGCTGGGCTCAGGGAAATCTGCCCCGTCTCACCTGGACCTGGGGCGCCTGCCCGGAGGTGGGAGGTGGGGGGCTAAGATGGGAAGGAGCCTGAGCCATGGGACGAGGGGGCCCTCTGACCCAAGGGTGGGAGAGGGGGGCGCGGGTGTCCACAGCCCCTGGGAGCGGCGGCTGCACAGGGCTGCCCCCTGGCGGCCAGGCCCTGCCCTTCTCTCCTCGGCCTCCGCTCTGAGTCTCAGCAGCGCTGCCCGACCAGGGGACACAGTATGAGACGTCCCCGCGCCAGATCACAGTACCATAGCCCCTAATGATATCAAGCCTTTCCTTTCGACCAATGGGGCAGTGCCAGAAGCCAGGGCAGCGCCCTGAGCAGGGCAGGGCAGGGCAGGCTCTGCCTGCTGGTGGCTGTCAGAGGGACCCTGGGAACAGCCTCTGGGAGCCCTTGTACCCTCAGGCATGTTTGCCAGAGCAGGCCTGGGCCCCCCCACCCCGACCGACTTGGTCTTCATGCCCTGCGGGACCCTGGACCACAGCGGGCAAGGCTGCCCTGACCTCGGGGAGGCCCAGAGGCCCCGTCCCCAGAACAGGAGGAAAACGAGGAAGAGACCCCCAGTCTGTCGTCAGGGTTCTTAACTGGAGTCACAGACCCGTACCCCGGTTTTCAAACCTGGCTGTGTGTGTTTTGGTTTGGGGGGGTCTGTCGCAGATACTATCACCAGCCCCAGGCCCCCCAGGATTGCAGGAAGTAGACTGCACAGAGACGGGCTCTGTCCCTGGGGGGTGGCACCCGGAGAACAGACGAGAATCTCCGTGACGGGGGCTCAGGAATCGGAGCTGACGGGCTCCTTGTTTGCAGTTCACTTTATTCGTAACCAATATTCTGCTTATTTTTATATTGCCCAGAGATGATCACTTTTAATATTTTTGGAATATACCTTCTTTTCTAACTTATTTCATGTTATATTGTTTACTTAACACCCCCCAGTGAATAAACATACATCTTGACCCACATGTCTCCTGATTAAATCTGTTTGGTAGTTAGATTCCGAACTTATTTTACCAGGGGCTGGAGCAATAGCACAGCGGGTAAGGTATTTGCCTTGCATGCCGCTGACCCAGGTTCGATTCCCAGCATCCCATAGGGTCCCCTGAGCACCGCCAGGAGTAGTTCCTGAGTGCAGAGCCAGAAGCAACCCCTGAGCATCGCTGGGTGTGACCCAAAAAAGAAAAAAAAAAGTTATTTTACCGGACTGGATGTGTGTTTCCTTATCAAAAAAAGGAGTTCAGCTCCAGGAGGGGGAGGGGCCAGCCCTTGTGCTCAGCCAGCCCCACCTCCAGCCTCCCACTGCTTCCTGGGAAATAGCCTGGTGCCAGCTGTCTGGGTGAGAGGCCTCAGCGCCCTGTGCCCACACCCTGTGCCCTATGCCCAGCGACCTATCCTCTGCCTCCACCTCTCCTCAGCGCGGGTCCTGCTCAGGGCCTGTTCTCCCTGGGCGGGAAGAATGGGGTCCTGCATGCTTTCCGGCAGAGCACAGTCCCTAGGATCCTGGAGAGCAGTGGGCCAGGGACAAAGGGACAAAGGTGTGTGGAGCTCTGCTTGGGTCCCCGGCGCAGCTGCTCCTCCCCTCAGTTCACCCCGGCTGAGGATGCTTTGGCAGGAAGTGAGGCAACCCAAGCTGGGGCCAGCTGCTGGCGTGACACCCAGGGTCTCCTGCAGTCGGGCCTGTCCCCACAGCTTGGAGGGTCGTGGGGCATGTGTCTGCAGTTCCGCGCAGCCCCGGCCCCTTGAGGCGGGGCTCTGCGACACTGCTCGAGGCCCTCGAAGGGGTGGAGGTATCCTGGGCAGAGAGGGGTGGCCTGCACACCCCAAGCTCTGTCCCTGACCTGTACTTTCTAGCCCTGGCAAAGTATTGCCCATCAGGGCTAGAGAGAGAGAGAGAGAGAGAGATCAGAGGGCAGAGCGCTTAGCCTGGCGCTCGCCAACCCAGCTTCAATCCCGGCACCCCACAGGGTCCCCCACAGGATCACCATCAGGAGTGATCCCTGAGCCAAAGCCCCCCTCTCCCTCCTCTCTGTCCCTCCTCCCCTCCCTCTCCCTGGAACCTCACCAGCTCTGCCCCTCTCCCCTCAGAACTCCACCTTCTCTCCCCCAGCCAATCTGAGATAAGCCAAGAGATCAAGGCCTGGTGATAGCAGGTCGAGTCGCCCCACAAGGCCTTTCATTTTCAAGGCCAGTCATACCCCAAGAGGTGTGTCTCTGAGCTGTGTCTCTGAGCTGGGTGGGACTGTCAATGTGTCATGTGTGTCATCTCCCTCCCAAGACCTGCCCAGCCCAGCCCAGCAGGTCACCACACCCCCTCCTGAACACCTCAGCCTCCCCCACCCTGACCTCTGCCTTGTGGGAGAGGGGCCCGGGCACCCCACCTGTCCCCCTCTCAGCCATCACCCAGCTCCTTACCTTGATCTGTACCCACAATGCCCAGCAGCTGCTCCCTGATTTTTTTGGGGGGGCCACACCCGGCTATGCTCAGGGGTTACTCCTAGCTCTGCAACTCAGGAATTACTCCTGGCAGTGCTCAGAGGACCATATGGGATGCCGGGAATCGAACCCGGGTCGACCGCGTGCTAATGCCCTACCTGCTGTGCTATTGCTCCAGCCCCAGCAGCTCCCTGATTAACCCTTGCCCACCATCTACCAACTGCCTGGCCTCATCCAGGCTTCCTGTGCTTCTCTGAACCTGGTATCCCTTCCAGCCCCGAAACTGGGAACAGCGCTAACGGTCCAATGGGCAGCATCCTTCCTTGGCAGGCTCCTCCCTCCGATCACAGGCAGATCCCTCTCTTCCCCACTGGCTCCTCCCTTTCCACAGGCCCCTCCCCTTATAGCTCCTCCCTCCAATCACAGACCCCTCCCTCCCATGCAGGCCCCGCCCTCATCACATCCCCAGTCCCTGGGCTCCCTGCAGGTGTGTATTGCCAGTGTCAGTGGGAACTGGCGTTGCTGTCTTAGCGTGGGAGACCAAAAAATGACAGATCAGTCGTATTCCTCCGCCAGAGTGTGTGGGTCACACTTCTCCCAGTCCAGATCCCCCGTGGGGCTGGCAGGGAGCGTTTGAGGTGCTGTTGCACCACTGGGAAAGAAAAATGAGCTCCCAAGGCAAGAGGGCGGTTCCTTGAGGCTTTGAGGGCCAAGGATAGGGAGGAGGGCCGCTGGGGAAGGAAGGGCAGAGACTTGCACTTGGTCCCTTTTGTGGGGATGGTGTCTACCAACTGGTGCTCCAGCCTCAGTTATTCTGGGTCTAGTGGGCCTTTGAGTGCCTGAGGTGTGGTGCTCGCCTGGCCCTGCCGTGTCAGGGATGCCCGAGGCCACCTCATCATCTAGGGGCTTCCAGGGCCACACCTGGAGGGAACTATGGGATGCTGGGAATGGGTCATCGCACCACGAGAGGCCAGAGGCAAACCACGCGCCTTACCCATGAACTAGTTCTCTGGCTTTCGGCCTTTTATAAGTGCTACAAGAACAACTGTTTGTTCGGAACCTACTTCAAACTATCCCTGAGCGCAGCTGTCTGGTACTGGGAAAAATGACTTTCCATACGGAAAAAGAATGAAATTAGTGTCTCACTTGGGCACCCTTGTAAAAGTCAACCCCATGGCAGCAAAGTGGCACAGCTAGAACCCAGAGCGGGGCCCGTGGGGGCTGATCCGCCCCCTCCCGTCTGAATCACATTGCAGGAATGCCTCTGCCTCCATGTCCTCACCTCTAAGGCTGAAATAATAGAGCCTCACCCAGACGAAATCAGTCAGCAGCTCTGTTTAGAACAGGGAGAAGCTGCTTATCTGCCTGTTAAAGCAAACCAAGCTGTTACGAGCCACATCTTCTGTCTTTGTTCCAGAGACAAGATGTGAGGACACATTGCTGATGGGAGGGAATGGGGAATTCTCTAACAAGGCCGTGAAGGACAAAAGACAGCGCAGAAGACGGACAGGTTGGAATACAGATTTAACAAGACATTCAAAGAAGAATTCTATTCAAGAAGGATGGGAATATACATCATGGTATGTCTGTCGGGCGGAATATCACTTATCAGGAAGGAATGGGCCACAGGAGCGAGCAATGCTTCAATGACATTAGTCACTTGTTGAGAGAAAGACACAACGTTGTAGGGAACACAGAGCCAGGAGTAACCCCTGAGCATCTCCAGCTGTGGCCCCAAAACAAAAATAAAAAATGCTTCTTGGGACTCATAAGGAAAAGACCAAGGACTAGAAAAAGAGCAGCAGATGAAGTCCTATCATGCATGCAGCCGATGCAGGTGCCATCCCTGGCATTACATGCATTCCCTTGAGGGCCGCCTGAAGTGATGAGAGAGAGAGAGAGAGAGAGAGAGAGAGAGAGAGAGAGATCTAGCCTTGCAGAATTCTTGCTGAAAATGGGCAAGGTGCAAAAAGAATACCAAAATGGTGTCTGTCAAGGGCCTGGAGCTATAGTACAGCAGCAGGTAGGGTGTTTGCCTTGCAAGCAGCTGACCCCGGCTCAATCTCCTGCACCCCATATGGTCCACCATACACCACCACTTCCCAGAAGATTTCTGAGAAGTGGCAGAAGCTTGTGAAAGCCATTGGTGGGCGCGCTGGGGAAACAGGATAGAAATCACCTTAAAGCTCATCCTTTGAGAAACCACTCTTCAAAGCCGAGCTTGCCCAGACACCTTTCGTCATTCGAATTTTATCAAGTTTAAAATTGTATCAAGTTTAAAATTGGGCTGGAGTGATAGCACAGTGGTAGGGCGTTTGCCTTGCACACAGCCAACATGGCTGACCCGAGTTCGATTCCTCCGCCCCTCTCGGAGAGCCCGGCAAGCTACCGAGAGTATTGGATATGCCAGACACAGTAACAACAAAGTCTCCAATGGAGACGTTACTGGGCCCGCTCGAGCAAATCGACGATCAACGGGAGGGCCTTTACCTTACCTTTTAAAATTGCAAGGATGGGGCTGAGACAATAGCAAAGAGGAGAGGG